TGGACAGCACAGATGTCTAGCACTACAAATGAAGATACACCTAAAATCGAAGAGGAACGTTTTCGGCCGTTACGTAAAAACGAAAAAGCGCCATATTACCGTAATTACTTATTTCCGAAATATTCTGTTTACGTAATACCAATGGATACAGTTATAAATAAATACGAAGAAACGTCAGTGAAATCAAATGAACGAATATAATTCCGAACTTTAAAGTGATATAAGTTAAAATATACACACAGTACTTATTACAGATAAAGAAAAATGCATAAATCGTCAAATGACATATACTTTGTTTCCTTTGTATCATAGATTAAGGATAATACCTGCTACAATATGTGTAATCTAGTTCCTAAGTCTAGTTCCATGAGTTAATGTGTGGAAATTTTTGGCAAGCAAAACAGACCCATATGATTTCGAACAAAAAACTTTTTGTATGAATTCTATGTAACCAATTCGATGAATTTGAATATTTTACATAATAAAGTGGCTAAATCTTTTATGATATCTATCCATATGAATATTGTAGACAAAGACATGTTTTTAATAGTCAATATTTTTTTTTTATTTTATTGCTTTAATACCTCTATGTGGTTGCATAGATTTATTTCCCACTTTCGTCAATATAAGTATAGTGATAACTCTTAAATAATGTACGATAACGATTACGTACTTTGTAGGGAAATACTCAATTCTTATTTCGCTTTGATGTGTACTTTAAATTGCAAAATTTATGCATAATTGTAAAATTCGACACAATGAATTTAGTAAATACTTACGTTATTGTTAAACATTTTAATTTTATTATAATATAAATATGTAAGTATTTACTTATAAGCTACATTTATGTTAGATTTTATTTATATCTATGGGCTCATTTTTATTCAAAACTTATTAAAAAAATCCTAATTACTTCTTGTTAAGTATAAATATTATTTCTTGTTACTGCTTTTCCTACCTAACACGTTACCAGGAAGTCACGTTACCAGAGTCAGAGTAATAGTGAACACGTTTGACAGTGATTGTCGTCGCCTCATATTCAGCGTCGACGAATAGGGGAATCCCCAGTCTTATTTAAAAATAAAGAAAATAAAGAAATAATAATATCTAAATAATATTTTAAATGTGTGTGTTGTTGTATATGTTTTATTACCTATCGATTTTCATCGCAGTATAAGACCTTTTATTTATTGAAGAAAGCTTAATAAAAAAATATACAACAGGAAAAGACATCGGTCTTCAAGTTCTATCAATAGACAAACGCACTACAATAGAATATCAATAATAAAAAAAGAATTAATATTTTACTATTGGGTTATTTACTCTAACATTATTGGTCCAAACAATTAAATAAAACAACTACAGAATATTCATTTTAACTTTTTTATTAATTCAGAATTAACTCTGTATTAACATAACTGTCACAGCTAAACGGCTTGAAACGTTTCAAGATACGCAATACGATATATACACTTTTCAGTGCTAGTCATTATGCACTTTATTATATCGCTATACCAGTTCTCACATCGTTCCTCACTGCATTGTCTATTTCACGGTCTCCACTCCAGACCATGTATAGGAGAAGAAATTGGTTGAACAATCCATGTATTATTAGTAATGCCGACTACTAGTCCCATTGCTAACAATATACCCTATCAGGTCGACTTCCTCGTGGTCCTCCTGGAAACCGTCGTCCTGAATTCTAGGTGTATTAATCACCTATGTATTATGACCTGCCCATACATTTTCACCTATTATCCCTTACTGGTACCCCGCCAGCGTATACCGTTAGCGCAGGCGAAGTTACCATTCCGTTATTATCCATTATAAAAAAGGCCAATCCATTGCTACCTCAGCTTCTGTCCTGTTTCAGATTATATAATTAAATTGTTTAAAAAAAACTACTTCAGTTGTAGCCAAAGAGTTTAGTTATAAAACAAAAAAAAAACCAGTTACTTTGTTTTAAAAACTAAACTCTTGAAGTAATTTTGATATCTGTAACCATATCCTTTTAAATTAAAAAATAAATTTCCAAATCGGTTTACAACTGCTAGAAACTCTTTCTTTTCGAAGTCAATTGATTGAATTAATTAATAGTTAATAAATATTTAATAGGCGTAAATGGTAATAATTACATATTTATATTTTTGAGGTGTTTTGTATCAATCAAAAATAGAAGACAACCAAAAAGAGTAAAGTGTAAAGCAATGAGATTTCTTTGGTAGGCCATTTTGTGACGATTAAATCACGCTTTGACTACTTAATTAAATAGGTACTAACTTTTTGCCTGCTACTTCGTACGCGTGGAATTCAAAAATAGAAAAACCAATTACACTACCCTACTATTGTAATTTGTAACAAATTTTTATGGTTCCAGTAAATAAATGTTCTTATTGTTATAATTAAATAGTCAGTATCTCAAAATAAAACATATACCAGATTTTAAGGTAGACTATTAGTAATACAATTGTGAAAATTGCATCCAATTGTTTTGTATCAATTAAAATAGAAGATAACCAAAAGAAAGCGTAATGGATACAGGCCATTATGTGAAGATTAAATCGCGCCAATTACAAACCTTTTTGCCTGTTAACGTAAATTTCTAAAATAAAAAAAATCCAATTAAAATAAAAACATACACCAGATTTTTGGTAATACAATTGTGAAAATGAACCCATTGGGATGAACATACAGATAAACAAACAAACCTTTTATTAAATAAATAGTGTGTAATGTTTTGTTATTGATTTAATGTATTTTTAGGTCAAATTAAAGATGTGGAAACAAATATATAGATAAACAGAGAAACCTTTCAAAAAGTTTTGGGCATAGACTAATAGTCTTATTAAGTGTAAACAATTCCCCTAATTATATTTTCTTAAATCGTCATATCAGCTCTTAGCTGTCCACTGCTGAACATAACCGTTCCCCATAAAGGTTGTTTTGCCAGTAGTTGCCACGCTTGGCAGGCGGGTTGGCAACCGCAGTTAGGCTTTAGAGATTTTTTAAGAGGGATGCTGTTGCCCATCCCTCGCCCTCCCTTAGTCGCCTCTTACGACACTCATAGGAAAGGAAGGGGTGACTTATTCTACGCCAGGACCACACGGCGGTTTTCTTAAATATCTAATTACAATTATATTAGTAAGAGAGGTACCATTCGAAGCAAAACAAAACTGAATTTAGTGACGCACATAACTCGTTATCGGCCAATGTGGCGCTTAATATATTTTGCCTTTCCAGCGGCGATATTATTACATAAACGATAGCGACTTCAATAGAAAAAATAGAAGCAGATAAAAGTTCTCTTATAAATAAGGACAACCTTTGCACTTGGAGGAAATCACACTGGATAACATATGATTGCATATCTAATTTATTATATATTAGTATTTAAATTTTATTTTTACCATTGCAGTTGTTTATAAAGTTGGAATCTATTATCAAATTCTCGGAAAACTAATTGAAATAATTAAATAAACAACAAAACAACTTCAGTTTGCTTACTTAATATTTAAGAAAAAAAATAAGATAAACAGTTCAGTATCGAAACGTTATGTTGTTTCTTTATTATTGATTACATTATCATTTATAAGCTTTATGGTTGTACCTACAAAGTCTTGGCCTTAATATGCTTTCAGGGGCCTATTATAAAGAAAGGTGGTGGACAGGATTGTTGAAGAATAGATATTTTGCAAATCTATCGATGTCACGCTGTGCCAGATCACGGACTGCCAATATGCGAATAAATGGTCCATATGTAAGTTTCTTACATACGTAGATCCCACTGCTAAATGACTATTACGTATTTATAAAACCCTCTCCCCGAAAATCTCTCCGAAAAGCGCAAAAATAACAACTGCAGCTGCTCAATTTGATAAGTACCTACGAAAAATAGCTAAAACTGTCAATTCGTAATCTTTTTTTACACAGGGGCAAATTAGCATGTGGCTTACATTATAGTAAGTAACTACCGCCGCCCATGATCATCCACAACACAAGAGGCATTGCAGGTGTGCTGCCAGCCATTTAAAAAGGAATATGATCCAACTGATCCGATTTTGGTCATGTTTTCAATAATAATATGAATAGGCCTTTGACTGTCTTTATTTCTTTTTTTTATATTCAACCCATTTTTTTAGTTCTGTATTTTATTTCAGCCATAAAATTCACCACATTTTGTAATATTTGAAGAATTATTGTGATTAATATTTAGGAAAAAGGAAGGTACCGAGGCATGGCATGGCTAGATACAGATAGCTTGGTAAAAAACTTTCACTCTAGTGTCGTTATTCAGGGATAAAACGGATGTGTACGGGGAAATCTATGCTCGCGTTTCCTCTCATGAAAAACAAAATGTTTCATGTAAGAAGTATGGTGGGTTTCCTCCCCTCCCCTCGCCCTCACACACCTGCCGATGAAATCCATCCTTCAAAGCCATTGTATTGTATTGTGAATTATCATTGAAATGAATCTTACATATACATTATAATAAGTAATGACTTTTTTAAATATTATGATATATGTATGATTTATGAAACATTAAACAATTTACTAATTACAAATTGTTATAGATATAATATTAAAAAAAATCAAAAACGCCTTTTTATTATTAGAATATGATTTCATACTTCAGTAATATTTCTAAAATTTTTGGTTTTTAAATATGATTATGTATTGCCTACATCAGAAATATCGGGGGGAAAGATTGTTAGTAATGAGGTTTGACAGTCTCATTGCTAGCGATACAGCATACATATCAGTTCGACCTTCACGCGGTTCCTCCTGGAAACTATAGTGGTTAATTCTTGTTCAATTAGTCGCTATGCGCCAACTGACCTGCCTGCCTGCCTCACTGGTACTCCGCCAGCGTATACCGATAACGCAGGTAGGGTTACCTTTCCATCTTCACACATTAAAAAAAAAATCAGAAATATCTGATATTTGAACACATATTCCTAATATTGATAATTATTATCTTTATTTGAATATACAACAAAAAGTAAAGTTTCACTTTATTTGTATATATATATCTATTTTACATTTTGTTAGTTATAATTCTGATACGTATTACTGAGATTCTTAAACTGAATTGGAACATTCAGAATATTTTCGTATTAAATCTAAAAGTCCGTCGAAATATACAGTGGTCGATGGCTTCGGACATTTAACAAGGACTTCGTGGAAGCATTTCTGGAACCGCTGAAGCTCCTCACAACTCGTCTGCAAAGTAAATTCAGAAAATGAAATAGCTGGAAATGATTGACAGGTAAAAATATAGGTATATTATAATGATTGCCGTGTAGTGCCAGCTACTAGTTTTGAATAGACCTAGTCGTATCTCTTATTGCCGAATCAATTTTCGTATGAATTCCATTATCATTGAGGAATGTGGAGGAATTATTCTGAATTCATTTGACTTTAGTTCTATTAAAATAATTTTAAAGGGTTAGGCTTTGTCATATTTTTAAGAGGGACGCGCTGCCCATCATCGGCCCATTAAGTTCCTCGTTGGGGGGAAAGGAATTGTTAGTAATAGAGACTTAGAATCCCATTGCTAGCAATATACCCAACTAGGTCGACCTCCTCGCGGTTCCTCCTGGAAACTATCATGGTTAATTCCTAATGAATTCATCATGATGGGCCAACTGGCCTGTTTTCATTCTCATCTATCACCCTTCACTGGTGCTCCGCCAGCGTATCACGTTATCGCAGGCGGAGTTACCATACCATTTTCACTCATCAAAAAAAAAAAAGTTCCTTTCGTCTTCTCTCACAACACCCACGGGAAAGAAAGGGCTGGCCCATTCTATGCCGAGACCACACGGCACGGTATACGGCTATCACTATCATATCATAGTATATCACTTATTATTTAAGCTGAATTATAGCGGAAATAAATAATTTTAATCAAACAACCAGTAAAAGACAGTATTGCTATAAATAAATGAGAAGCGACTAACTTTTAGCTCTTCACTGCTGTTTTCGGCGCTGCTGCTGTCCAAGCTTATAGCTATTGCTCTTGCACACCCGCCGATAGGGATAGAATTCTCGTTTAAACAGTTCAAACCACCGTCAGCCACGAACTCTGTAATATTAAAATGGGAATCTGTTATATTGAGCTTGTCACAGAATTTATAAATTAAATCAGTAACAAATCGAAAAATTCAATTAATCAATAGATTTTTTATTTACCTACAGTACCTGGAAAAAATCATGGCTAATTCTTTATGAATTCGTTGCAATGGACCAACTGATCGGACTTCATCCTTACCTATCATCCATCACCATTACCCTGCAAATATGGTTTATAATATATAATAGCGTAGGCGAAGCATCCAAAAACTTTTCATTCATGAAAATGTTATCTGTTTATGTAATAGTGTAGGTATTTTTGTAATCACACTAAAGTATTTCAATTCTGGATATATATAGGTATATATACTTCTAAAAACACACACACCCACACACGTATACGTGCACGCACGCACGCACGCTCACTCACACGCTCGCACGCAATAGATACACGTGTGTGTGTGTGTGTATATTTCTAGTCGTACAAGTTTGTTATGCAATTCTAAATGTTGCATTTTGATAGATAAAAATATAAATATCTCTAAGGTTTAACCATAATCTGTGCAAGTCTAAAATATATTTTATTGCGGTTATAAGGAAATTGTATTAAATATTATAAATATAACAAACATTTACCGGTAAATCTCTGGCTGTCGTTGCCGCACATGTATTCAAATATACCATCGAACTCTTTCATGGCGGTGCCGATCTCATTACGATATTCGCTTTTCATACATGGTGCTGTGCCGTTCATGAAATTATACAAACAGCTTCGTATTTGTGGAATATTTACACATGTTCTGAAATAAAAAATCAATGTTTTTTTATACCTCAAAATTGGCAAACAAGCATATAGCCGGTCTGATAGTAAACGGTTACTGTACAACCACGGTCACAACATTAGGGGTGTCACGTACATGTTGCCAATCCTGACGAAACTAATTTTTTTTGAAGAACCTTATACTGTAGCCTCTAGAGATTACGTCGGCAGGGAGCTCATTCCACAGCCTGAGCAATCACCAAAGAAAATTCCTTTAAAACTGCACTGTACGTAACATTTTAGGTTCAAAATATACAAGGATTTTTAAATAATATAAACCTAAGTATAATAATATCAATATATGCTTAAAGTTTCACGTGTTGTTATATATTTTGTAATAATGATCACGACTGTAAACATATACCTACTAGAGGGAGAATTTATACAAAAGTCATTTGCTTGGGCACCTCCGTCCCATTCGTGTTTCTGTCGTGAAGCAGTTGTGTTTGTATGGCTGTGTTTTGATTTTAAAAGTAGGATAATGCAGGGAATTTACAGGGTACAGCGGCATAATATCTTACTCTTCAAGAATGGCAACGCATAGAGGGTATCGTGGGCGAAACAGTACTCTATTATGTTCATATCTATATGCGACGGTTACCGCTTTCCATCCGATGGGATGAAAATAATGATGGGGTAAATAAGGATACGATATCTACATCTACATTAATATTATAAAGAAGAAAGATTTGTATTGGTAACCGTCGCCTATAGACTTGAGCAGTACCATGGACATAACAGAGTATACAGTTTCGCCCTTGATACCCCCCATGCGTTGCCATTCCTGAGGACTCAGATGTTATTCCTCTGTACCCAGTAAATTCACGCCATATCCCACCCTTCAAACCGAAACACAACCATGCAAACACAACTGCTTCACGGTTGAAACACGAATAGGACAGAGGTACCCAAGCAATCTACTTTTGTACAAAGTCTCCCTCTGGTATTTCACTATTAGAAAGCTCCATTCACCCTGAGTTACAAAGGCTATATTTATTGCTAGAAAAGATTAGGGATCCATCAGTAACGTAACTCAAAGTATAAAAAATGCTATAAAATATCTTTCGTCACGTGCGCGGCGGAAATTATTGGTGATAGAACAAAAGTATGTTCTACAATATTAAAGAAAGTATCAATAACTACAAAAAACTTCGCAATACTATATGTATACTATATATATACTATACTATATGTCCAACTATTATCGTTATGTCACAATAACCACTCTTTACATTTTAAAAGTTGAAAGAAATACCGACCAAAATTATACCATGTTATTAATACTTCTGTTTAAATCCTTATCCAAATAAATGATATTGTTTTCAAAACTATTTCAATTTACGTAGATTACTTTTGAATCTTTCAAATCGTAGGTATATTCTATACGAAAGATGTAAAATTAAATTATATTAATTAATAAATTTTATATATATATATATATATATATATATATATATATATATATATATATATATATATATATATATATATATATATATATATATATATATATATATTTATTGTATATTTTATCAAATCCATCGAGCCATTGTCATTACACGTAGTCCCCAATATCACATATACATTCATACACACTCAGCATTTTATATTTAGTAGTTGCGTAACAGTAATAGAATCAATTAAATTTAAAAATTATAGACATACAAGAGATTTTTTTTTAATCAAATTGAATTAAATTACTTACTTCTTGTACGCATTGACAATATCATTTTCAGACGAAGCTTGCTCTAAAGCTAGCATTATATTTACATCGACGCTATTCAGCATGCAATCCACGAAGGTCATAGAAGCTTCCTGTTCATTGCAAATAAAAAAAAAAATATAAAATAAAATAAAATTGTTGCCCCTTTATCTTATTTTTATGTAATTAAGTTTATGTAGTTATATTCATTTTGTTTATGACTATATTGTTAATCTTTATAATATGTATGATTCTTTAAAAAAATAAAGAGTTTTTATTTATTCATTAATTCAATCCATATTTCGCCGAACATTTAAAAATCCAACGTAATATAGGATGAGTCTACCACCACTGGGATAAGTTTATTTATTATCAATGTTTCTATCACAGGAGTTTTAGTTGGAAAAACGCACAATGTTTTTGGTGTCAACCAGTTTCGAACGAGCCAACACCATTTTTGTTATTAAGTTTTAAATTAGCAAACTTATCAGTTAAAAAACACAACAGTGTTTCTAAAATTAAAAGTTAACGCTCTTCTGAACTGAACTTCTTTACTGAAGAATAAGTGTTAACGAGTTAAAGTATAGTAGTAACACTGTTAACAAAGAGTGTTCATGTTGAGGTTTTATTTAATGTTACTTTTAAAAATAGAACTTATTTATTTTCTTTTTATGTCAATGAATATTTTGTTTATTAGAGAACGTCATTTTTAAATATCACTATTATTGTTTTTTTTTTTTTTTTACAACACAGGGGGCAAACGAGCATGCGGCTCACCTGATGGTAAGTGATTACCGCCGCCCATGATCACCCACAACACCAGCGGCATTGCAGGTGTGCTGCCGGCCTTTTAAAAAGGAATATACTCTTTTCTTGAAGGTTATGTTGTCGTATCGGTTCGGAAATACTGCTGCTGGAAGTTGATTCCAAAGAATGGTTGTGCGTGGAAGAAAGTGCCTTGAAAAACGCACGGTGGAAGACCGCCACTCGTCCAGATGATTGGGATGAAACTTTAGTTTGTGGCGGGTTGTACGGTGGTGAAAATCAGCAGCAGGTATCAATCCGAACAATTCCTCAGAACACTCCCCATGATAAATTCGGTAGAAGATGCACAGAGACGCAACATCTCTGCGCAGTTTCAATGGGTCAAGTCGGACAGTAAGGCGTTGACTATCGATAATTCGAGCCGCCCGACTTTGAATGCGGTCTAACGGAAGGAGTTGGTACTGTGGCACTCCTGCCCACAGGTGAGAACAGTATTCCATATGCGGCCTGACTTGGGCTTTATATAATTTCAGGCGGTGTTCTGGCATGAAATATCGTCTCACCCTATTGAGCACTCCTAACTTTTTGGAAGCTATCTTAGCCTTCTCCTCCAGATGACCGCAAAACTGGACGTCGCAAGATATATCAACGCCCAGAATTCCTAGACTTGACTTTTTATCAAGGGAAGTGCCCTGAAAGTGAGGAGATACGACAAACGGCGTCTTTTTTGCGGTAAACGCGCAGACTTGTGTCTTTTTGGGGTATTAAGAAACAATATATCTTTATCCAGTATTTTCTATTTTATTGTTCTATCCAACGAACCCTTCACAGTTCATATTAAGCACAATGAATCCATAAGTGGAGGAGAGTATTGCCGACTCTTTAATTAGTAGTGAAATAATAAGTAAATTATAAATGTATTACTAAAAAGTTTACCTCTATTTCTCTAGTTTTCTCCTTTGCATTGTTTTTAGTACATTCTCTTTCTGCGTAGTTGTGAATACGTTGACGTACTTGTTCATGTACATCTTGTTCACATATTACACCTGTCAGAATATATACATAAGTAAAAGATTAACACTAAATAGTCATTACATATTAGGAACAATTCTAAGGTGTCAAATTTTTAACTTGTCTCTTAAATACCAATTTAATAGTATAGCCATAAGAACAACAGAATTTATTCTTATAGTTTATTGGAATTGTTAGGTTATAAAAGTGATAGTAAAATAGCAAGAATCTGTGACGCTAATAAAAAATATCTTTGATACCAAACGTATATTAGTATATTTAATTCATAAAAGTTAATTTTTTTTAATTCCCAAAGCATTCTCTATTCTTCGTTATTCTACGTAAATCTAACACACATGACATCGACGGCTTTACAGGAAATTCATGCCTATTGTATTGTACAGTGGCAAAGATATTATCATATCGTATAATAAAAAAATATATAATTATATTTCGAATGAAAACTCTTCCTTTTTGAACTTGGTTATTTTTTTTCCAGATTAGTGATACGAGTATATGGTAATTGAAATGAGTTCTAAATTATATTAGCTTCCAATAAATTACTATACAATACCTCTGAATTTAAACGTAATTTCTTTATTTATTGATTTATTCTTTATTGCACAATAAAACTTGTAATTGTATGATTTTTCACTCAGAATGCTATATAAAAAAAAAAAACTAAATTGTTTAACCAACCAGATACATAATTAATTTCTTTTTCTCATTTAAAAATTCCCTATTGTCGGGGGAATTAATCCATGCATTATTTACTATCTATTCATGCTTTTTTTTTATGTTCCAGCTAGTTTATTATTTCATAAAACTTCTTTTCTTATAGGTTTTGAGTGAACCTCTAGGGATTATTATACTTCATAAATGATAGATGCAATTCTTACAACTAAATTAATGTAAATAGAAAAATAATTATGTAAAAAAATTCACTAAACAAATTATATAGTAATTTCTTTCTTGTGTTATTTTTAATAAAATTCATTTATCAACAATAAGCATAAAAATGTTTAATGAATAATTAATATTATCATTTTACACATAAATCTAAAAAGTAAAAAAGATGCAATAGAACGTTTAGTGTATGTTGTTTCCGAATCAAATAAATAGAATTAATTACAAATACATAAATAAATACATAACTCACATAGAGTCTAAACTGGTTCGAGTAAACATGAAACATCTTTTCACGTATGTACTCGTATGTAAACTTTATGCATACTTACTGGTCACCATTATAACAAACAAGACTCCTTTGAAGAACATTGTGAATTTTATTAGCATGAACACAGCTACTTTCAATAGGTAAAGTAAATATACTGTAATATTGTTTTCAAATTAGATATTTTATAGTAATTAAGAATGGCGATAACACATCTACTTGTATATACTGTCTTGAACTATAAGGTCATATATTAAGATGTGTATTTGTGCAAATTCTAAAATAAACGAATATGAGTCCAAGTATCTGTTGGACTTTTACATTTTATTTTTTTACACAACCTTTCCTATAAACAGTGTGAGTGCAAATAGTATGATATTATGCATGTTAATTGTCATTATTGTAGTTTTTCAAAACGTGCCAAGAGTGAATCAGAATTTTCTACACTAAGGTCACCAATTATGATTTCCTCCTTCATCCTTTGTGAGTATAATTTACAGTGACTATTAACAAATTTTTTTTATACAACTTAGAATGGCAAACAAGCCGACGGTCCACCTGATGGAAAGTGGTAACCGTCGCCTATAGACATGAGCAGTACCATGGACATAACAGAGTATACTGTTTCGCCCATGATACCCCCCCCCCCCCCATGCGTTGCAATTCTTGAGGACTCAGATTTTATTCCTCCGTACCCAGTAAATTCACGCCAAATATTAAGTTTGTAACTGTAATTTTAGTGTAGGTGGTATATTATTTACCTATATGATTTTAGATTATATTGCCACTCATCGTGACCTCTATAGATCTCCATATATTCAAATCCTAAGTAGACAACGTAAATGAAAGATAATTATTTAAGAAAATTTGTTATAATGGGTCTTAACAAGAGCTAGAATTAGTTAGAATTTTAATTGCAGTTTACTTCATAATTGCGAATTTATATATAAATAAATATATTTATAATAATAAGTAACTAATTTATGAATTATTAGGGTTCAACTTCCGACGGTTTCGAAATTTTTCAAACATTTATTAATTATTGGGAAATTGTAATACACACATATATATATATATACATATATATATATATATATTACAATATTAATGTTAAAAATGTTTTAACTACTAACATATTAGAACGTCATTAGGTGTTAGGTTCGCTATATGTACACTTACTTATATTATATAACTAGCAACCCGTCCCGACTTCGCACGGGTGCAATGCTAATACTAAAACACATTAAGGTTCATTAAAAACCTCTAAAATTACTAGTGTTTCTCTAATATATTATACATGTATTATACATATAAACCTTCCTCTTGAATCACTCTATCCATTAAAAATCCGTTGAGTAGTTTTAAAGATCTAAGCATACAAAGGACAAATAGACGAAACACGACTTTGTTTTATACTATGTAGTAATTTTGGATTAAAGTTTAAATAAATAAATAAGTAATATTATATTTGAACTGTAAGAAAAACCGGATTGGCTAACGTATATGTAAACGCTCATAAACTCATGATTAAAAGTCCCGGATAGTACCGAAACTAGTCGAATATTTACTATTTACTCGATATAGTTAATCCGGGTTTTCATGCAGTTGAAATCATAATTTTTGTCTGACCATCTCTTTGTATTTTTTTTCCGGCATCACGCAATAATTACTGTACCAAATTAGATGCGAAGTTAAAGTCTGATATATATTTCTCTTAATAGACAATATTCCTTCTAGAAATGGTTTCATTTCATTGGTTTCTCTTGTTCCAAAATCATTAGAATAAAAATAAATTAATTCCACGCAACTGTAAGGTTTCCTTTAAAATAATATATCCAACTCTGTTGTCATTCAACTTAAAAAAAGAATAACCCTGTCTACATATAATTATAATAACAGAAAACGAGGCTCAGATAAACAATTAGGTATATAGTAACAAGGTTATCATTAATGACCTATAGGTATCGAATAACATACACAATACAAAATTGTCTTCTGTAGCATTTAATACAGTTATTATCCTCATAATAATGTTAACATTTGAAAACATCTGTATTTGGAAATCCCATATCCTTAACAGAGTGAACAACAAGGCTAAGGATAAAAAAAAATATGTACAATGGAGGCAAAGAACAAGACTTATAATGGCTGCCTTAACTGAACAGATAGATGGTAAGGCATATAATAATAAACTCTTTATAAACTATTTGCGAACAAAAGAGATATATACAAAGAGTATTTATACAGAATGTACATATACAAAAGACTTACAGATAACCTGGCATAAATAGTAAATGAATACAAAGAGAAAGGCCGAAGGCGCAAGTCAGATACAGTAAATACAAAAAAGTAACCTAATAAAATGCAAATTATTCTAAATGTCATTTATATAAAAATAAGACCAAATTACATAAACATATATAATATAAAATATAGTACATATACTGTACAAGACGGATCTGTCTTTGAACATACTGTTCAGAATGTTCAGTGAGAAATCTGAATCCAGGTAACGTCTTTTGCAGAACTGTGATTCGTTGGTAAGTATCCGTATAAGTCTACAAGAAACGGCTTATCCGGAGCCAAGGGACTATAAATATCTTATGCGAGATATCGCAATGGTAATAATGCATAGACTTTATAAAATGATAGTATAAATCAGGAGGATATACTAAAGATTCCAACGCGTCGATATGCGACAGTTTAGCTGGCCCCATACACGTATATAAGATAACAAGTTGAAAAGTTTTCCGATCCGATAAGTCTCGAATCCACATTACGTCAAATATACTCGTAGTATTCATTTCACTTGAATTGGGTATTTACTTAGATTTTAAGTATTTGACAGTTGTAATAATAAAATATATATTGAATACCGTAGTAACCGTAAACTTTTTATTGAGATTTTATTTTTCCAGGGGTACTCATGTATTACCTTGAGAACAATGGTATTTTGTTAATGGGTGATAATGGAATGGTGACCCCGCTTGCGCTAACGGTACACGCTGGCGGAGCACCAGTCAGGGATGATAGGTGAGATAGAAAAGGCAACTCAGTTAGCCTATCGTGATGAATACTCCTGGAATTCAGCACGATGGTTTCCAGGAGGTATAACGTAGAGGTCAACCTGACAGGATATATTGCTGGCAATGGAACTGATAGTCCACATTACTACTACTAACAATGCCTTCTCCCCCTACCCTCCCCACCCCACTATGGTATTTTTTAATGGGTAGGAATGTAATAGTAACCCCACCCGCGTATTGGTATGCGCTGGCGGGGCACCAGTGATAGATAATAGGTGAGGATGAAGGCAGGTCAGTTGGCCCACCGTGAAGAATTCAACAAGAATTAACCACGATGGCTTCCAGGGGAAACCTCGTGGAGGTCGACCTGATAGGGCATATTATATATGGTATTATACCTCCGTATCTTAATTTCTCTATCCATTAGTCCACGCGAAGATGGGATTATGTATAGTAATATGGAATGAGAAATCCAGTCCTCATTACACACCATATCAAGTGGACCTCCTGTCAGCAATTGTGACTAATTCTTAGTGAATTTTCTATAATAAACCAACTGATTTCATTCTTATCTTATTTCCTTCTTCCTTTTTGTTTATTACTATTAGTCATGTACAACCTTTCTTATGGTGGGACTCGTTTATTTACATTTTATTTATAACAAAGGGGGCAAACAAGCATGTGACTCACCTGATAGTGAGTGACTACCAACATCCATAGACATCCGCAAAACCAGAATAATTGCAGGTGTGTTTCCGACCTTTTAAAAAGGAACACACTCTTGTCTTGAACATTACGATGTCGTATCTATTTGAAAATACTGCCACTGAGTCTTGATTCCAGAGCATGGCTTTGCGTGGGGGAAAATCTTTAAAAACTGACGGTGGAAGATCGTTACTCATTCAGATAGTTAGGATGAAAATTTAGTTTATGGTGGGTTGTACGATAATGAAATTCAAAAATAGGTACAGTTCTGTCGAAACAGACTACTACCTGCTCAAATGCATATTTTAAAAAAGATACATTATGTGCTCTCAAACATGTTCTTGTGCATAATTGAAAACTGCGCTGGCACGGTTCAACCAGCTCCCCTTTAATACGCCTATAGAACTAATTGGCGTCGAAGAAATTAAAATACAATTTCGCTTCCATATTTTATTTTAAACTGTATCGTATTAATACAATGGCAATTTGTAGAACGCTTATATATATTTTTGCTGAATATTCATCATTACGACGTAATAAAATACATACGCAGTATTTAAACTTAGGTAGATATATACAATTCAAAATTGATACGTACCAATAACTATATAGCCTTGGACAGATATAAATAACTGTTATTTGTATGTATGTATTCAGTAGGTACAATACTACTCGATAAATCATTGTTATGAATTTTCTATGTCAGAAATAGTATGGGTGAAGTATGGCACCGGATTTTGAAAGAACTTTTTTTTTTAATTTCCTAATTATAGGTATAATAATGTTAAAAATTTATAAATATAAAAAATAATATGCTCACGGCTGTAATATCTGGTACGGTATTTAAAAGCAACGTACACAACACCCAACATGCCCATATTTCGCCGAGCATATTTGAATTCAATGTGGAAGAGACCTTAGATTGAACTACCTTGGAGTAAGCTTACTATCGTCTTTCCCGGATTAATTTCATTTGCAACACTGGATATCCGGCAATTCAAATAGACGCATCGAGCTTTTTCCAGTTTATTAGAATAAAATTTCAAACTAGTATATAATATTGAGTGAACAGATTTTTATGTATGTATGTATGTATGTACATATATAGTTTGACAGAAAATATCATTTTAGGATGGATAAGGCGCTTCACACACTAACTGCGCACCGCCGTAGCCCCCGCTGAGGTAAGAGGCGCGACTTGCTCTATGCGCGTCGTTTAATCTATGAAAAGTCTAAACGATTATCAAATAATGTCAATTTTTTAAACAGACAAGTACGCCTTTGTCCTATCTAGATAATATCTCAAAACATCAATATTTTTTAATATAACGGGTCACATTTATATTTGTATCTCTATGCCCTTGTCATAGGCATGCAAGACATTAAGTACTATTTAAGATATAGACATCAAGTAATATAATCAGTCCAATACGTGTTTGCGTATTTTATTGTACGTTTATAATAAAAATTTATAACAGTCAAATATTGAGGAGTACCTTTGTATTTCTCCCTCTATGTAAATAAGAAAATATCAATTACTCTTTTGTTCCAGTAACATAGTTCATCTTATCAAGTAATAAAAGTAATCTCACACACGCACGCTCTAAAAGAATAATAACAGTATAAACAATATGTTAACATCTATTATATGTAGACATTAAATGCATGACGGATACAAGTATGTAGTATTTGTTATTTATTTACATTGCACAGATACGGGCAATAATTGTGTGACACGGAATATTGAATAGGTACCTACTGTTTGTAGATCGTGTGGGCGTTTGTCACGCACGATGTCAACATGTGACTTAGTAAGACGCTTTTTCCGTTGTTGCAACAGTTGCAAGTTGCATGCAAATGGAAACAAATTTAATTAAATAAATTAATTAATTATTAAAAAATAAATTGCTCGTTAGGAGCGAGTTCCGTGTGAGTTACTGTTAACTTTCGAATTTTGAATTGCAATAGGTACTATATTACAATTAAATAAAGAACAATAATTCGTTAGTTAGTTTCCCATTTAAACCAAATAATTTGCCCCATACATGTTATCAGTAATTATAACCCTTTTAAGTTACATTTATTTTTTATTTTTAAAATAAAAACTAGATTTTGATTAAAATTTGTACAAATATAAAACTTCATATCATTGTAACAAATTATTCGCTTAGCTGAATATGAAATTAAGACATTTTCATGTTCATTTTATTACATTACAAAATAAACCACGAATCCAACAATAAAATCATATTACAATTTACAGCATCCCTTCACCCACACCTTTTCATAAAAGCAGACTACAGCATCGACATATCTGATTTATACCAGAACCAATCGTAAGAATAAAAAACTGGGTTAGAAGATACTGTAGATACCACAGATAACTAAATATATATTTAGAGATCCGTGCTTGATATGCAAAAAATTTGGAAAAATGACCGCTGCCACTTTTCTAAATCTTTTGTTGATATGGCATATCGGCTTACTTGTTATCGTCTCATAATTCTTTAACTACATACCTACATTCCAATACGATTATTATAAAACCGTTTGCCTTTGATAAACACTGCTAAACACCAATTGTTAAACATAACAGTAAATACAATATACGCCCAAATTTTTATAAAATCCCCTCATAAACGCACCACATCGAGTGAATTAAAGTCAAAGTTAACATTCATTTCATTTATTAGTGCACATTCACCAGTATACAATTCGGTGAAGGCGAGAATTATAAATTTATAATTCAGGATAGATAATATCGTAAACAGACATATTACTCAAGAGTCAATTCTGTAAAAGAACAAAATTGCAGACGGTAATGAAAGGTACATAACGTCTACACAACAGTAACAAAACATTTTCAATTTCTTGTCACACAAGAATGATTAGAATAAAATCACAGTGAGTAAACACTATATCACCATTAATCGCCTAATTAATTTGTATAATGTTAATCTCTTTCAGAGAAAGGTCATATTCTATAAGACCCACTTACCTACAATATAATAAAAGAGTATAAATTAACATACACATAAAATATAAAAGGAATACATGCAACATATAAAGTAGAACGAATATAGTGTGACTACATACACATAACAATTAAGAATTCAATAATATCGAGCCGGTTACAAATATTTCATTATAACATTTATTAATCAAATAAAGGACCTGTCTCTGTATTTTGTCTTATTGGTCGTAGGGTCTTGTCCATGATTGCTTGACAGACTACTAGCGATGAGCATTTTTTTTTTAATAAGAATATTTTTTAGTTAAGTAAATTTAATTACAAGCATTTTTAATAGTAATGATTTTAATATCTAATAAAGATATATTAAATTACTTATTGATTTAGCACTTCGCTAGCAGCCTTGTGAGCCGAGCACGTTCATTTTGTAACCTAAATTTATTGTCCTTACCTTATAAGTCGGACTTTACTGTGTCGTATATCGATACATAACTTTTAGTGTTTCAATATTTTGGTGTATTGAAAATGCTGCCTGCGTATATTATGCAGCACACAACCGACTTTATGGGATACTATCTATAGCATTTCGTGTTCATGATCCCGTTTGTATTATAAGCTCTTTAAAGTTACGATTTATCAAGCAATGCCGTCATGAATCGTTTTATTTTCATAAATACCTCTGGATATCTGTATCATCAGAAACTTGTTGATGTTTATTCATACAGTTGACAGTTTCCAATATTGAACAACTGTATTCAAGTTAGTTACTTAATATATTATTAAATAGTTTCAATTTATCAATTGCTTTATTGATTTTGTACTTATTTACATATCAGACTAATCTCCCAATAACGATACTAGAAAAGTCTCAAGACAACATTTTATTGCGATTACAGAAATTCCTAGATGTAATCTAATCATCTTATTCATCATCAACTCGTCAAACGTCCAATAAATCTACTTTAGCCATTGATGTGTTCTTTTTCTTTTATACAAAATTCTTGATTTGAAAGAAAGGGTCCAAACACTACATAAAAGACTCATTTTTCCATATGGGCCTGCCCAAACAAGAGATAATCTCGGAATTATTTTTAACAAAGTATGTTCTGTAGAAAGGACAAGCTACTCATAGTTCATTATTTACTGTATACTCTTAAGCTTGATTTAGATTATTAACATAATGTCAAGAAACTAGTTTCATCGTTTAAATATCGCAATTTTTTTATTTTGTTGGACCATAATTTTAGCAATACTGGATATCAATAAAAAAACTAAACAACTTTTCGAAACTAGTTCTATAAAGTTAATTTAAATTTACGATACTAGTTTAATGCAAGCAGCACGGAACTACTTTCATAATGTAAGCCAGGCTGAAGTTAACATGAAGGTATGGATAAAAAACATACTCAAAGGAGAATTTCACGTTTTTGGACAATAAACCGCAAAGCCTCAAGAAAAAATGCAGTTAGTAAAGTCGTAATCTAATGATGCCAATAATCCTACAGAAAATATATATAATTTACTGTATACATTCAACTGTATATAAAGATTCTGCGGTAGTGCATATTACACTAAGTTCAGCTACTTAAAAGTCGGTGATCAGAGAGTTGACTGTAAAAATGCATCGAAAAATAACAAACGATGATTTTTCTAATAAATTTAAAATCTTAAATAACGTGTGATCTATATTATTAACAGAGATTTCATGAAAAAAAAAAAACAAGAACAGAACGAATAGCTAAAGTAATTAATTATTAGTTAGCCGCCATATTTCTTTACACGCATTGTCCTTAAAATAGTAAATTGTCATAGTTAATTTATTATATCGTTACAATGATATAATTTAACAATAATACGATGTTATCATATCATATAATTTTACAAATCTACGATCTTTCTAAGTACGATGTTACATATAATAGCCGACGTATTGTAGCAACAAGTATAATTCCCTCCTAATTGCTGGTTTACATTGATCACTTGCTGACTTCAAACTCTCAAACTCTAGACAGGTCACTACTGTCTAACCTGCCACTGACATGGTATAAATTTATTTTAAATACGATCTTCGAACCATATCCTGCAACAAAGCTGCACTGGCAGCACTGTCGTGTCATTATCATGTTTAAAATTCTCATTAGAAGTCAATTTGACTGAGTGTACATATAAGTACATTTTCAGCACTATATTCACATATGTAACTGACCCAATGTAAATATACCTGAACGGTAAATATGTTGTTCACACAATTTTATCTGAATGAACATTTGTAATTAAAAACATTTTATTTGAAAGCGTAATTCGTGTCATTCCTGTGTACAGGCTTACATTGAGTCAGTTACTCGATACTCGAGATAAAATCAATGCTGACTCGCTCTGCAACGGTGTAAATCGATTCATCAGTGCAGTGGATATCGCCAGTCAACATTGACTCAAAAATTCCCGCCAGATATTTTTGGACTCAGTCCACTGACTGTACGTGTCAATTCTCGGCACCGACATTAATCCAATGTAAAGTTATCTTAACAATAGATATTATTATTACAATAATATTCATTCGATTTAGCGAATAAATATAATATACCTACATACATTCATGTCAGTAGGTCAGATCTCACATATTGCACCCGGAACTCCACAACAAGGACTAAATTTTATTTAAACGCACGTGCATTATTTTCGTGCTGATCTAAACCAACAATACGTAGTGGTCGAAGAAGAATGAAAAGTTCACTCAAAGGTAGGAGGTGCTATCTATCTTACTACGTAGTGTAAGACTTTTTACATTATTCAAATAGTTATCACCTTGCACTGTTTATAGGTTTTAAAATATTTATGACAACTAGCAACTTTAAATAAAAACAGTCGCCACTGTATAAAGAGAACTGACAACTTTTCTTTTCAGCAAGTACAATGCAATTTTTTAAACAAACAAACGCTTTAGTCATAATGATGTAAACTGACTTTATTATATTAAACCGACTTAGAAAAAATCAAAAATTTTTGATTTTCAACAACGCTAAGGTATAGAGAAATGCAATATTTTGACAGTCTTTACAAAGACTCTGACAAAAGATAAGTTTCTCAAAAGAGCGAGATATTTCAAGTCAAAGTCATTGTTGATTCTCATAATTAAATGTTTTGCAATCCATGTTACTTTTTAGTAATACGAATTTTTTTTCTAATCTGTTGTTTTAGTGGCCTGTTACCCACACCATACTATTACGTACAGAGTATAATGGGGCGTCATTACATATGTAGGTATAACCTAAAAATCATTTAATAAAATTGCTTTATTATTTATTATACTTAGATATAACTGATAATCTGATATATAGTTGTGACACTGGTATAAATATAAATCCACTAATAAGTTCATAAAATTGTATAGAAAAACATTTTGGCACTATACAATTTTCAAATAATAAATTATATTTCGCAATGTTTGCCTACATTTCGTTTGTGACATAAATGGCTTCAATAGGTAATACAAATTCATATCAGATATATTATTTACAGTCTCAGTAATGGATGACGTTAGTTTTTAGTTTAATAACTTTCAGTGAATGTTAGGAAGTCATCGATAAGACTTGCCTTAATTTCTGGAGCTAACTACGAGCGCAATTTTTAAGCAACGATACATTTTTTTGCCTTAAACACCTTTAAAACTACAGTTACTAAAAAGAGAAAAAATACTACGAAAATTTAGATCTTTAATTTCGTCACTGATGTTTTATGTAATTTTAGATTAATTTTTTTTCATAATTAACCTAGAAAAATTAATGCATTCTTTATATATTCATTTTTATCTCATTAGGTTTCCTTGTTATATTGCATACTAAACAATACTAAAGACTAATGTATATTATATTTATACAGTCATATTATACAATATTTTCTGGACTGTGTGATTAAGTCTCTCTACCATACAACTGTTGATTTATAATCAAAACAAGATTACAAGATTAAAGCAAGCTAATATGATCAAAGAGTTTACAAAGGTGCTTAAGCCAAACGCTTTTGTTTATCAATAAGGGCGTTTAACAACTTAATCCTGGCTTTAACGGCTTTGTACCGAAGATATTCCTCCTCGCGGCCCTTCTTGTCGTCCCTTTGAACTTTTCTACAATTTTGCACTTCGAAACTTAATTCGTACTCCTTGATGCTGCGACGGAGCACCTGGAAACAAATTTGTTTATGATGAATAATGAAATTATTTAAAACTAGCTTTGACCTGAAACTTCGTCCGCATGACCGGGATATGTTCACTGACCAATATATAAAATAGCAGGTACTTTATGAGTTGGAGAAGGGCATACCCTTCTCTATTTCTCCAAATCGTTAAGTTTTTAATTAACAAATAACTAAACTTTCACATTTATAATAATTATTAGGAATAAGAATAGTAGAAATGAACTTTACTAGAGAATCAATACAATCTTTAATCCTTCAATACCTTTGTAATTCATTTCACTTCTTTAAAAGAGTAGTAATTATTTTATTTTCGCCTCATGCAGGTAGTTACTAATTCGTGCGAAAAAGGACCATGTCTATATAGTTTAACTTCTGTTCATCATCATATCAGCCGTCAACTGTCAACTGCTGATCATAGGCCTCCCCCTATGGGAAGCTTTGATAATAGTTGGCCTGGCAGCCGGATTGGCAACTGGGCAATTAGGCTTTGGTGATATTTTAATAAAGTGGTGGCCTATTCTATGCCAGGACCACACGGCATATCCGAATAATCCTATTTTAATATAATAAATGTGATAGTATATAACGATGGATGGATTGATGTTTGTTAGTCTTTCACGCAAAAACTACTAAACGGATTTGAATTAAATTTGCTACATGGGTAGGATATATTGTAACTTAACGTATAGAATATTTAAAATACTAGAATACTAAAAAAGATCGACTCTGTAGATCAGATGGCGTCTCCTTTATGGCTTGGATTTATTATAATGATGAAATTTAAGAATTCGAAGACGTTATATCTAGAGTCACGTCAGCGCAAAGCCAATGGCGCGGCAGTGACTGCAGAGTCGTTTTTATTGTCTCCTGAATTAAAATTATTAAATCATACGTACACCTTTCTGCATTTTGGCCTCTGTAAGTGCCTTGGCGAGGTCATCGAGGCCGAGACAATGTAGCCCCTCGTTTGAAGGGCCAGGCTCCTCCCCGGACTGTGCGGACGAAGTTGAGGACGGCCTATCCTCTCCACTCACGATACCAGTACCCTCACGGTTCGGAGGTGACTGCAGGGGCGTTTCTACAGTCTCCTGAACACAAAATAAGAACCTTTGTTTATATTATATATGCATGAAACTAATAAAGTCATGAACGGAATAATTTTATTAAAACAAATGAAACAGTTTTATTTATTCTTTTTATATCTACCCACAAATATTTAAAATTTCAAGCTTCAATTACTCAAACAATAAATTTGCATTAAAACTTTATTAAAAACTTATTTTTAATTGTAATAAATAAAAATTAAAAAAAATTCTACCTGTGAAGAATCTGATGGTTTCTCTTGCGAGTCACTGGAGCTATCAACACTGAATAACATCGCCTCATGCTCGTGTATGGTTGCGAGCTCACCATTAGCTCCTTTTGCCTAAGAAACAAAACATGCGCAGTTGAGCACTATAATTATGATGTTAAGCACCTTATTTTTAAACATAAAACGTAAAAAAATTGTGCTTTAAATAAAAGTGCACATATGGTTGTAAACTTGATCAGGACAATATATACTATAAATAGAATTGCAGGGCTTAGATCTTTGTATATATTTTTTTTTATTTTATGATTTTCACTTGGTCCTGCCACATCTGATGGTAAATGATGGTAACACCTATGATAAAGCGCGCTTACCAAGGAAAAAAATATTCGCCAACGACTTGATGAGTCCCAGGTCGTATGCCTCCGAGAACATGGAAGCAAGAAGAGCATTCCATTCCTTAATTTACTATTTACATATAGAACGATGACGTGAACCGTTCTCAAGCAAATTTATAGAATTTCTATTGCGTAAAATGGACAACAAACGTAAGTCATTCAAAAATTGTTTTTCTTTTTTTGTTTTCATAACAGAGAAATCCTGTTTAATATGCACGAACCATACAAAGCTTTCTTTTTTGGTATAAAAATAACATAGAACCATAGTGCATTGCATTAATAACGCCTTAAAAAATTCAACTTACAATTCAGAAATTTGTATATGCCTCCTTGTAACTTGTGGACATTTTCTGATAATATAAATTACAAACAAACAAATAGGCAATAAACTAATATCTTCAAAATAAAGTATTAAAACAATAATTAATGTTTCCATCCTCCATTAATGCTTACATAATAATTAGGTAATTTTATATAATCTTTAGTTACAATGTGTTTGTCAACATACATGGCCGGGGGGAGGGGGGGGGGGGGCGAGGGATTATTAGTAGTGTGGACTACCAATCCCATTGCTAGCAATATACCCCGTCAGGTCGACCTCCACGTGGTTCCCCTGGAAACCATCGTGCTGAATTCTAGGTGTATTTATTACGATGGGCTAACTGACCTGCTCTTTCATTTTCACTTATCATCCCTTTCTGGTGCACCGCCGGTGTATACTGATAGCGCAGGCGGGGTTACTATTCCATTATCATCCATTAAAAAAACATACATGGCCGTAGCTAGAGTGAAGGGGGGGGGGGGGTATTGAAGGGCAATGCCCTATTTTAAAAGGCCCAATGCCCTACCTTAAAATGAAAGGCCCAAGAAAATTAGATAGATTCGCTTTTTTGGAGTTTTTTATGGTATTCCTTCTTTACCAAAAAGTTATTTTGCCCTATTTTAAACTTGGGTCTAGCTACGGTCCTGTCAACATATAATATGATTGATAAAAGACGAGCTTCTTAGTTAATTATCCACAAATGTACTTAATAACAAAACTTACTGCGTCAGATCTCAAATTGGAGACACATTTCTTGACGTCTCTATATCTGTCGTATAGAGGTCTAGCCGCGTCGCGGTCTGGAGTGTTAGCTGCTGGTCTGCCCCTAGCAGTCTCCAGACGGCACAATGCTCGCTGTATACAATGCTTCTCTGCAGCCCATTCCTCGGGAGACCAGCTGGATTCTGGTAACCCAGAACGGCCGGATGCTTGACGACTGCCTTCAAGCCACTAGAATATACATATTTTGGTTTTTATTTAGGTTATCTAGTCAAGAATGCCACCACTTTTTGTACCACTTTTTATTGCTCAAAAAATATTAAATAAGCGAATACTTGTTTTAGCCGTGTGATTTCGGCATAGTGTAGATCACCCCTTCCTCTCCTGTGGGTGTCGTCAGAAGCGACTAAGGGAACTTAATGGTCAACTTAAAGAGTTTACAAAATTATTCAAAGTATATAAAAAGCTATACCTCTTCAATATCCAGAACAAGTTCAGCCATAGGTTTGTCACTCTTCAAGGCGATACTGAGCTTTTGATCTCTCTCCTTCTGTTGTTTGGCCGCATGAAGTTTTATGGTATATTCTACTGGATCTGCTCTGATCAATCGTTTCTCTGTTTGTAATTTACGTATTTTCTCATACATTCTTGTCAATTGAATATCAGTAATCCGATCGCTTGGTGTCAGTGCATGGCCATTGTTCGCTTCATATTCGCTTTCGTACTTTGCGATGCTCTTCTTTAGGGCGTTCATCTAGAAAATAATTTATATTTATTGTATTACATTTTATAAAATAAAAGACAAACAATTTCACATAATTTATAACTAGCTATATCCCGGGACATATCGCTGCTCTCCACTCTTGTGAATCACTACATAAATATTCTATGTGCTAAGTTCGGATATAACCTACCCATGTACATATTTAATTCAAACCCATTCAGTAGGCTTTGCGTAAAAGAGTATCAAACACTTATCTCTGCCTTCATCCATTAATTTAAACTTCTCCATTTATAATACTCATAAGTTTGAATAGAAGTGTGTACTTCTACGGACCTATTTTGAAACATTGATATATAATTTACATTGAATCTTTACAGATTATTACTTTCACTAAATATATCTACGTATATTGAGATTTGTTCATTCTTATTATTTTTTGTTATTGCTTATTTATTTCTTACTACCCTTTACCCAAGACTTCATCTACATGACATAGTTTGATTGACTATGTTAAAAATATCCTAAGTTCTCCTCCATCCCAAATACTACGTGAATGCTAAAATTCATGACAATTGGTCAAAGAGAAATTCAAATTTACTTTCACATTTACAATAAGTATTACAATTGATTTAAGTCTTACTTTTCTGTGAATTTTCGTTAGTCTCGTCTCCGGACAAATTTGATCGCGGCGCGGTTTCGGTCTGGCTGCAGCGCTGCGCTCATCGCGCCGAACACGCTCGACGACAGCCAAAACGACGTCGCCATCGGTGCTATCGACACTCGCCACTCTTCCGACCTGACGCTGCAGCGCCGCAACGTCCAGAGTCTCAGGTTCATCGCTGACTGTGAACGTACATTTTCTTCTGTCATTATATCATTAGTTTAATTCAATGTATCTCTTCTAAAGCCACTATACGGTTCATGCGCAAGATTCGAACTGATAGACGTTAACTGAATTATTTAAATTATAATCACGTTATTTAGATCCAGACTTTAATATTAGATTATATTACATTAAAGGATACTATATGAAAATTTATAAGAAAGTAAAGGAAGCGAAAATTGGAGCAAATGACGATTTTAATCTTCTTGCTCAATCCGAAGCAGGTAAGTATAGTTATGCAAAACAATTGACTAATAACAAATATTACCATTAAGGAAAATGAATTAACAGTAAAAAAAATCTTATATCAACATTACAAGCAACATTATAATTAACACATTATGGTACAATATTATCATGCCTTATTCCTTAAGTTTAAAGTTATTTATCTAAAAATTTTCATATTAATCGGTTCTGTATCTATAAGAAAAAAAGGAAATAGAATAGACAAAAGTATATCTGTGTTCATTTACAATAATAGTGACATCAAAACAAGGGTCTATAAAAATGAGAAAATAGCAAGATTATTATTGAATTGTTTCTACCAAAGAACCCATACTTCAAGATGTGTCCTTGAATGGCTTCCATCGTAATGACCGACACAAGTTAATGCAAAAGACACAGGATATCTTTGGGTTACCTTTACAATCATTGATTACTATTTAAAAGTACTACTTGCCCCAAATCATTTGTCAATCTAGGTTGTTGCTCGAATCTGTATAGGGCCATCTAGATCTAAAGAAAGTCATTAGGACAAACCAGTTACGGAATATTAAAGAATAAAATGTTATAACGTGGATACGAATATTTCCAGAAAGAAACTATTGAAGATCATTAACGCATCAAAAATCCAGTTAAATGTTAATTAATTCGAAGCTCTTAGACAATTTTACATTACTGTGTAAGTATTATAAGCCCAGAGCTTTTAAGGCTGGCGCCTTCATCTTAAAATATAAATTATTTTGCTATTACTTTACCCGGTTATGTAAAACCTTTTTCCATTCCACACTCTTAGCTCAGCAACAAAAATTTAATTAAAACCAACATACTTTGACGATTCCGTAGATCAGAACAGGCGAATTCTAATTGAATATTGTTTGTTTCATCGGTGATTGTGAAGCCATCGTTTTCTTTTGGATTCTTATGTGGCTTCGTCGCACGTCGACGCTTCATGCCGAATTGTGGATGACGTGCTCGGGACAACCGCTCAGCACGACGCTCCGACTGCAAATGATGATAAAGGTAATGAAAAGCTTAATTTTGTTGTATAAATTAATATTGATTTACAATAAAGAGCATAATCCTCAAGAGACCTGGTGATTATAGTATAAATGTTTTTTTTTAAATGAATAATCTAACTTTAATATCCAACTCGAGTCCAAATGTATTTCTCTCAATATATTGATTAGATTTAATCTAAATAACAGACGATTTTGATTTTTTAAAAACAGTTTACCAGTTAAGATTCATGAGTTATCTGTGATTATCAAGACATATCTACACTTTCTTATTTTTTTTTGTCTATGCGACTCAAAATCTCAACTATAGAGAAAAATGAAAAAAGCATCTCAGAATGCAATTATAATATACTAGTGCACCGCCCGGTTTTGTACGGTTTTTTTAAAACAAAATGTTTCCTCTTTGTAAGGAAACATTAGTATGTGATAATAATATATATGTAATACAATTTAAACAACAACAATGTACGCAAAATCATACCAACCTCAAGTCGGTTGTAGTCCTGTAGTGGCGGCGGTGGAGGTGGTGGGGGTAGACGTTCTTCACTGCGGGACCTCCTTTCTTTCCTCTCGTGGACGCCACCGGAATCGCGGCGTTCGCGCCGCTTGCGCGCCTCCCGCTCACACTCTGGCGCAGCCATTGCTTCTGTCTCTTTCTCCGGTCGCTCGTCTCGCTCGCAGCACTGTGTACGCCACCCGTGCCCAGATATTACAATCCGCTGCTCGGACGGACACTCTCTTTCGTGCCCGTAACCCTATCCATAGGTCAATGTTATTGTATGTGTCTGTGCGTATTTGTAAGCTTTCAGTGATAGAAATTTCAGGCGTACACATCAAGTTTTCCTTACTAAAGGGTATATTACATTATCAAATATTAAGATCAATATATCGATTTTATATTTTAATATGTCAGTAAAAACTTTTATAATATCTTATACAACTTAGAAACAGTATAGATCTTTTTTCATTTATATTCTGTATTATATTTGTGATAATTATATAATAATAATATAATTATGTGTTAAATTATAATTTATATTTGATAATAAAATGTGCCTGCAATATATATTTCAGATCACTCGATTTATACATTTCGTAAGCTTCATTATAATATTTTTACAATTCTTATTTAAATAAGAAATATAAGCTGTACATACATATATTCGAATAACCTGATCTATCGTCTATAGTAAGGAAAACAGATGTATATACCTAGTTAAACAATATTCGAATGTGAATGGGTAAAGCTTTGGTGTATGCAGTTTGAATGGAAGGACTTGTGAATGGATATAGGGTGTTCTATGACAGACACGGGGTGTGGAGGTAAGTAAACTGTATAGACGATCTATGTAAGTATTTATGTAACATTGTAAATTATTGCTTCTTTTATATTTATGGTTCGTAAGCAATATATACCTATATAAGTCGACTGATTGATTAATAAATATTGATTTATTCATTAGAAGCGTTGGGTATAAGTACTATAAAATTGTCTACAACACGGGTTTGTTAAGTACCTACACATTTAGTATTTATGGTATTATATACGGAAAAAGTAATTTAGTTTAAAAAATATATTCAAGAAGAGAAAATTTTTAAAACATATAAACTATTAATAAATATAACATATAGTAAGATAAACAGAATAAAATTAAATTGATCGAATGAGTCCTGTCTAAACAAATATGAAACTAAATAACTTTTCCCGGTAACCGTTGTTTGCAAAGCGAATATATAAAGCTTAAGAAATAAGACGTCTATAATTTTTAACTTGACACTACGTAAGGTAATAATTTATGGAAGCCCCATCTTTAATTTTCAAAAGTACCTGCTCGATTTCCAATTGTACCATGTTCGCTTCTGACTTAAAACTTTAGACTTCAAAATAAATCCCCCGAAAGCTTTCGACCGTCAATGTGAGGATTCTGAAATTAAATCATTTTTCGAATGCAACGGAACTACACGAGAACAAAAAATAAATTGTCTATGGTTTCTTATTTTTTTTTTCGAATAAAACAGAACACGAGAATAAAAAATAAATCCTCTATGATTGTTAATTTTTCCGAATGCAACGGCAGTATTTGAGAATAAAAAATAAATCCTCTATGGTTGCATGTTGGTGAAGTTTGAGGTAGGATGAGTAATTTTTGCCAAATCCTAGGAGATATTATAACCTATACGTGAGTTTCATAGTGTTATTATCAAAGTACTTACAATACAGTATCTTACAGCGCCAACTATGGAGTTCAATATCCTGGAAATGTTGTCCCGACTGCGGCTGGCCAGGTTAGCGCTAGTGGGGCCCGCTTAGCGGCTAATCCCCCGGGAATCCACAAACAAACACTGTGTAACCGGTTTATTGCTTATCCTTTTATGTAAAACAAAATGAAAGAAACAAAACGAAACGGCGGTGCGAATTCGCGCGCCGTCTTGACGGAGAACTTGACACTGAACTATCTATTAATGTCTAATGGGTTTTATTATTTATACGATATAGTTTTATTTGATGATATCACTCCTTTGCGCCGACATGTCACGATCCCGGCACATATTGGCACCACGCGAACAGTCAATATAATTTTTCGAGTTCAAAATTTACGGTTGCTTCAAGAAATGTGTTGACACTAGTCTGTAATTTAGCATTGATAGATTGAATGTGCTTTTAAGAGCCCGTTAGCCCTCTACGCTTAATGGAGTTTCCCCATTTCGTTATTAATATTCGTCACTCGACAATTTTTTTTTTTTAATAAAACCAAGTAATTTGGTAGTGTTCAATTATCGTCTATCATCATGATAGTTGTTGGTAGCATTCACTTTAAAAATAATATTATTATTTATGATGAGCAGCTTTATGGTGAGATCTGAAACAAAAGAAAGCAATATTTAAATTTTTAAATATAACAATGGACTGAGTGATATGAATAAAATGTTGGTTAACTAACTAAATTTATGGGTATTCAATGCAAATTCAAAAAATATGCTAGGCACTTTTCTTTCAGAAAATTGAATATTTGAAATTTTATTATATTTTTTCATGCAATTTAATATGGCATAAAAGTTAACGGCCACCACATGGAAAGTGATTTACTCCCCTAATAAGATAATTATAACATAAAACTTAATATTATTATTTTTCAGCCATTGCCTGTCATAAAAAAATCTCGATAATATATATATATATATATATATATATATATATATATATATATATATATATATATATATATATATATATATATATATTAGACGTCAATATACTACTTAACATACATTATAACATTATTATATAATACTTCAACAACGGTTTCTTAACACTATTCACTCATTTTAGATAATTCACATAGTACCGACCTGAAATTGTTTTACTGACACTGTTTTTTAGTGTTATTTGTTACCTAAAATAATTAATGTATATTATTTTTAAACATTGTGAAATTTTGACCATTGATAAAAGTTGATTATTTTTTCCTAAATCACCAGATCGAAAAAGTTTGTATATTTTAGCTTGATAAGTAAGGTCAGGTTTTAATACATAGATTAGGGATAGTACCTGTGGTCTTTCTACGTTTTAATATTTTATTTAATATTAAAATTATTTTAGTTCTTGTTCTTAATTTAAATGTGCGTTTTTATTTTTAAATGTGTTTATGTCATTAATCTAATATAACGTATTTACGTTCTAAATTTAGGCTGTCTATTCATCACTTAATACACGATTGGTAAAGTCATTCCTTGGTGTCAATCTCTTACTAATTAATATGTTAACTAGGGATCTTCATCAGCTGAGTTTTTTTATAAATACTTTTTAGAGTTCTAACTAGCCCGTAGACATAAACAGCACCCTTACAGAACTATACTTCGACGCCTATGGTATCTCTCATAAATTGATATTTCCGGAGATGCCTCCTACTAGGTACAGCAGTGCCTTCATACTTAATAATTTATGCTAGATCTCGTCCTTTAAATCCCTATGTGAACTATGTAATGAACAATCTACCATACTAATCAGCTCTACTAATTAATTATGAGTCAAATCGTAATGTTCGTAGACAGCTTTTATCTAAACATTGACGAAATATTGCGCACTGTCTTTATCATATTCAATCAAAATTAAATTCCGTAACTATTGATATCGTAAAAGATAAAATATTCGAGGTTTCATATCGTATAATATTGCAATAATCTAAAACCCAGCACGCAAATGGTAGGTCTTTGTTTTATCGATAAAACCTTGAACTTACTTTTGCAACTTATTAATAAAATTCATAAAATAGGCTTTGATATATTGGAAAAAGAGTTTAAAGTTTTCAAGCAACAACGAAAAAATAAGCTTGTTAACAGTTTATTTAAAACTACATTTTAACCACGACTGACCAGAGGAAAACTTTGTACAAAAGTCGATGCTTGGGTACCTCTGTCCCATTCGTGTTTCAACCGTAAAGCAGTTGTGTTTACATGGCTGTGTTTCGGTTTGAAGGGTGGGATATGGCGTAAATTTACTGGGTACAGAGGAACAATACCCGAGTCATTAGGAATGGCAACGCATGGGGGGTATCATGGGCGAAACAGTATACACTGTTATTTCCATGGTACTGCTCATGTCTATAGGCGACGGTTACCACTTTCCATCAGGTGGGCCGTCAGCTTGTTTGCCATTCTAAGTTGTATAAAAAAAAATCTTAGATGGGAAAATAGTTGATTTCTATTTATTCTAAATAGAAATAGCTAAACGCATTCCTCCGAATAAACCATCAATAATAACACGTGCTATTTTCATTGCAAAGTAAATGCTATTAAGGGTATTAGCAGAAGTAAGGCTTACATTAAATTGTTGGGCTTCATGTCCTAGAATCGTATTATAAAACCTTCCTTTTATGCCAGTCTATAACAATTCTAAATATCTAGTGAGAAGTGATGATTGGTAGAATATTATATTATAATATTATACTTTATAATGTAAGTTAAGAGGCCGTCTGAAAATCTGCGCTGTATAGATGTATCTCGCTAGAGGTGTGCATACAAAAAAAGGCTTCTACTACCAGCAAAATTTACTGTTTTTTTTCTTAATTATCTTTTAATTGTAATGTATATTTATTCAATTACAATATTACTCGATGAAAAATGAGATTTATTATTATGTTAATAGGTAATTAATTTAGGTAATATACGTTCGCCACCGCTGCCTTCAAACGCTATTTTAACTTATGGTTAACTGATAGAGAAAGCCATACAGCATTAAGCTCGCCATTTGTACAAAATTTTATTATGTAATAAAGAACAAAAATATTATTGTTGTTGGTACTAAAGAGATTTGTCTATCTATATGGAGGATACTCAGTTAAGAATCAACCCTAAAACATACATTCTTATGCCTGACCTTTATATCAAAGTATCGACTATAAACTTAGCAGATATATGCATAGTAAACTAAGTTTTCGGTACCAAGTACCGACCGATACCATCTATGCTGTTACAAAGAACAAGAACATATTATTTATAAGCGATTTCCAAAATAGAAGTTAACTAACTATTCGTCTGAATTTTTTGTGATTAGGCATGTTACATGAGTACGTCTTCAATTCTGAAGAAATTATTACAATTCTTTTCATAATATATGAGATTTACTGTTGTGTTGATAATCAGACGTTAACTGCCCACAGCTGAACATAACCTCCTTCATAAAGGGGATTTTGCACCGGCAAAATCCACTGGCAAAAAGTTATCACGCTTGGCAGGCGGGTTGGCAATGGCAGTTTGGCTATATTGTTTGGAATTCTGCTGTCCATCCCTCCACCATAAGCTCCTTAGTCACCTCTTACGACATCCACGGGAAAAGAAGGGCTGGCCTATTCTATGTCGACATCACACGGCGACTGTTGTATTGGCATATTATTAATTTTATGATAGAAGTTGCCACTTATCATCGCAGGAACAATAACTGTTTGTACCAAAACATAATCTATAGATAGACACGCGATTCCGTGTTCTAAATTCAAATAGGTATTTTTATTGTAATACTAGCGGCCCGTCCTGGTTTCGCACGGGTGGGCATTTTTACATTTTAAGAAGTGGCCATTAAGGCTGCACACGCGACGGAAGCTTAAAAATGGAGTAACTTCTCCCGTTTTCCTAACATTTTCCTTCACTGCTCTACTCCTATTGATCGTAGCGTAATGAAAAGTATACTATAACCTGCCCAGGAGTATGAAGAATAATTGTACCAAGTTTCGTTAAATTCCGTCGACTACTTTTTGTTTCTATAACGAACATACAGACAGACAGACAAAAATTTTACTGATTGCATTTTTGGCTCAGTATCGATCACTAATCACTCCCTGATAGTTAATTTGGAAATATATTTCATGTACAGAATTGACCTTTCTACAGATTTATTATAAGTATAGAAAATATGTACATAATTCGCTGTATCCCATATCTTCGTCCGTGGTCGTAGCATGATATTGAATAGCCTTTCTCAAGAAGTTATCAAAAGCTAAAAGCTTCAAATCCAACTGGTAATTTCAGAAATGAGCACGTTCAATAAATTTTGCCATTTTATATTACTACTAGCAATCTGCCCCGACTCTACATGGGTATATAGGTAATAAGATTAATTTTATTAGAATTTTATATTAGTTTTAAAAGGCAAATTTTTAATACCATGTGTTAATTAATGTAATTTTCGTAGAAATTTATATATAAATGAATATGATTTTAAAAATTTATACGCATATATCTTAAGTTACTCGCTGATAATGCAGTTTAAATAATGCAGTATAAATTTTTTGTTTTAAATCGATTGAATAATTTTTGAGTATCCATTACAAACACACAAAAATCATATTTCTTTCCCCTTTGTATATATATATATATACAAACTTCCCCTTTATATATATATATATATATATATATATATATATATATATATATATATATATATATATATATATATATATATAATATAGGGTTATATAAAATACTTGATAGACGTGAAAGTGGTAAAACTATGCAACTATTTGTCTCGTAGCTAACTCGTAACACCTTTACGACATATTACGAGTACTTAATATTGGATTTCTCATTTAGCAATATTAGTTTTTTGTCTGTATAAACCGAAATTATCTGTTGTGATATTAATCTAACTGAGCTTTAAAAGTTATTTAATCTATCTATACATGTAATAAATTTAGAAATAGATTGTGCAGCGTTCTAGTCGCCAAAAACTACAGTTTTTGTGAAATTTGGTGTGGTGGTAACTTTGTATAGTATTAGAAAGAAAGAAATATTTTTATTCAAGTAAACTTAGATTTAAGCATTTTTGAATAGTTATTTTTTCATTACCACCCATTCGGAATGCAATTTCAGTTAAGAAGAACGGACAAGAAACTCAGCTGTTGCTCTTTTCAAAAAGATTAACTATATTTTTAGCAGTATCAGTTCATACAATTTATAATATATAGTATCAATTGAAACAAATCAATAAAATAAATCGTTTGCAGTGACCAGGGCAGACAAATCCCTACAGGCAGCACCCGTTCACGAGTATGACGGTTATTTGGAATAATATATAGAACCAGCAACCCGCTCTGATTTTGGACAGGACAGTTAAAAGATCTCTGTTACTTTTGTAAAAAAATACAACCCATGTTAATCTCTGATAATGTAGCTTCCTATTTATAAGAGAAATATTTTTTAAGTCGCTTAACTATTTTTATTTGTCTTTTATTTGTCTATTACAAACAAAAAATGCTGTGTGGTGGTTCACAAAAGAAGGGAAAAGAAGGGGTGGCTCACTCTATGCCCGACATAGAGTGAGCCATCCCTTCTTTTCCCGTTAATGTCGTAAAAGGCGACTAAGAGAACTTAGTTGGGCAGTAGCGTTCCTCATAAAACATCACCAAAGCCTAAGTACGGTTGTCAACCCGCCTGACGAGCGTGGTAATTACTGGCAAACCCCCCAACAGGGGAGGTCATTATTCAGCAGTAGACAGTAACGGCTGATATTATTTATAAAAAAATAATCTATCCTTTATATATTAGTTTAGATATGCGATATATTCTAATATATACAGTAAATATTTCATTCGCAAGGAAAATTACAAAAATTTCACATTCCATCTAAGTTGCGAGCACAGCTAGTGAAATAACTTTCCCAATGCGGTAGTAGATAAGTGTGGTTGGTATTTTTCCGAGACGTCTGGGCCGAATGCCAATTTACATAATTCTTTTTTAATTAAGGGATTATTTACTTTCATAGTTTCTTTGTGTAAAAATGGTTAGATGTTAGAGAATGGCATTAAGCTCGCCACTTGTACAAAGTTTTATTGTGCAATAAAGAATAAATAAATAAATAACAAGGCTTGAAATTTCATCGGTTTTGGAATGTCAAGAAACTAAAAACATAATTATGATTATATTTTACAACCATAATTTTTTTATGAACGCCTTAACTGTCCATATGATTGAAATAATAATGACATATACGTTAAATCATAAAACATATGTATATGAAACTACCTGTTATATTTCTATTATTATTTTTTATGTATAACAAATACAATTAAATACAATAATATAGACTGTTATTTAGTGATAGATAATTCATAACGAAAAATAAATAGCATCGTGATGACATTTGTACGCAATATTTATTATTTATGAACTAATCCTCATAGTACCTAATCCTTTTACGAGGGAGGGGAGGAATTGTTAGTAATGCGGACAATCAGTCCCTTTACTAGCAATATGCCGTCAGGTCGACCTCTACGTGGTCCCCCCTGGAAACTATCATGCAGAATGCTAAGTACGAGTATATGGGCACATTTGGCAAGCGGGTTGACAACCGCAGTTGAACCTTGGAGATATTTTAAGAAGGACGCTGCTGCCCATCCTTCGACCATTTAACTCCCTTAGTCGCTTCTTATGACATTCACGGGAAAGGAAAGGGTGGTCTATTTTATGGTGAGACCACTTGGCAACGACTGATAAGGTATAATCTACGTACGTAATTTTATTTGCCATTTAACATAAATACGTTACGTACATATTTTGTGATAAAAAAATGTTTGTGTGGTCTTTTCATATGAAATTACGTCGTCATTTTTATTACAGTATCACGAGATTACACAAAGATATAAAAGGAAGTGGATAAAATGCCTTGACCCAATTTAATTCCAGGACTACGATGTCTATGGACGGAGGATCTAGAATTCGAAAGATTTTCGTAATCTTGTTATATTATTTAGAATAAATGGTTTCAATAAAAAAGATAACTGACAATAATGCCTTGAAACACAATCTTGTGTAATGGACATTAGTAATTCTTTATTCTAAATAGACAGCTACTCTTTTTTTTACATACATACATACATACATATCTGTCACGCCTGTCTCCCATTAGGGTAGGCAGAAACAATGGAACGCCAAATGCTTCGATTCAAACAAACCTCTTTCGCTTCTTCCACATTCATCAATCTTGTTATACACGCTCGTCGGTTACGGGTACTTTTAATTTGGCCCTTCTTCAGCACGTCGCCTATTTGGTCGACATACGTCCGTCTAGGGCGGCCCCTACCGACATCTCCATTCATTCTTGCTCGATAAATCTCTTTCATAATTCTTCTTTCATCCATCCTCTCCAAATGACCAAACCAATCTTTTTTTTATATATATAAATATACTTTTTAAATGAATAATGATCGAACTCCGCTTGCGCTATCAGTATAAGCTGGTGGTGCTCTAGTGAAGGATGACAGATGAAGGTGGATTAAGATGAATTAAGGATTTTCAGATGGAAATTGCGTGGAAGCCGACCTGACAGGTCGATCTAAGGTTACTACCTACTTATGTATAACTATTTGATTTAATTATAATTAACTATAGGTAATTGTACATTACCATAGTATTTTTTTGGTTACAAATGTATTTAAAGAACTTTAAAAATAAAGACATACTTAATCAGTAGATAAGTTGCTCAACTTTGTGGTCATGAAGTAAAAAGAATAGTATGTTATCTCTCAAATGGTTTTCATGTTCTCAAATGAAATACGAGTATGCAAAATGTTTGTGGCCTTTGTTCGTGTGTCTATATATGAAAAATATAAGAGTCGATTACAATACAAATTTTTATTTGATGCAATGATCCCAGAATAGAATTAAAGCATAAATTCAAAATTTTTCAAGTTCATATTTCGAAATATAAAAAAAATATTCTCATTTCCTTCATGCTTCGAAGAACATGTAACGCCGTTATTCGATAAGTCAGAATTCAGAGCAGATTCGTCAGAAGCCTTCGTATATAATAAAGACGTCAAAAAAATCTCTTGCTATGAGAGAGCGCTAAATACAATAAACAAGTTTTTTTTATATATATATTTTCTATAATACCGATGATGCCGTAAAAGTTATTAACTGACTTCTAGGTATATATTAGAGTCGATAATTTATTTATAATACTTAATTGAAAAATATAACATTTTTTTTTACAAATCTAACAAATTATAAAAAATAATCTATTGTGTTATCATTAAACAGTTAGGTAAGTATGATAAGATGACCTGGTTTCCAAGGGTCGACGGCCGTGGGCGTGTCGCTTACGGTGAACGCTTCCACTAAGGACTCGATGGCATCGAATTGTTATATCTACGCCTATATATATTATACAGACTTCATCTTATATAATAGGAATATATTTCAAAAATTTATATATAACGAAGAATATTATAATTAAATAACATTTTGTCAAAAACAACTTGCATTAGGTCTTCAGATGGCTACATTATTACAATTATTGTAGGAGTCTCTATTTTTTTTTTGTCAAATAAAATACAGGCCATGTAGTCACTGTTAATATAATTTTCTATAAAAGAAAGAATTTTTAAAATCGGTTAAGTACTAATCGAAAGTTTGTATAAAATTATGTCAGGATATAATGTAATGAAAATAAATTTAATGTAATGCTACAAGTAACTTTTGTACTAAAATTTCTATGTTCGTTTCGTATAAAGAAAGAATAAACGTCACAATTTCAATTTCTCGTTTCTGAAAATGAACTAATCTAAAATATCTCAATAAATAAAAGAACTCAGTCTTCAAATAACTTATAGTATATAATGTGTTTATCTAATGATATATTTACCTCAACAAAAAATAATGTAAGTATGTTATGTAAACAGATACCTACTACTTATGTACTTAGAATTGAAATTAATATTATACGAGTACATCATTCCATAGTAGACAACTTGTAAGACCTTGTACATGTTAAAGGAATTTCCTTAGACAAACGCTCGCGTTATGAAATAAGGTTACTTTCAGCTGAGAATTTATTTTAAAAAAAACGTTGTAAATAATAAGATGTACTTAAGTAGTATCGTTGTATTGTAATTGTTTATGCGTCGTTGTAGTATAGAAAATATCCTGTACTTTTGTCAAAAGATCTCTTATCGGAAAGACTTTATGCGACATTAATAACAACAACTACATTTGGAAACTCATCGCCTACACTATAGACCGATAAAAAAGTTCAGAATTATCCTCTTTGTTTATTTAAACCGACTCTATTACCTCCGTTACGTGGGTGTCTGTGCCTACCTATTATAACATCTACTGTAGTCGGAAGGGAACAAAACTGGCCTTGAACAGCCGTCTCAACAAAGCATCCAGAAATACGCAGCGTCCCAAAATACGTGCCTATTAAATAATTGATTACTCTGTTGTCTAAATTGCGACTTACCTCTGTTATATGGATATATTGGACACGTTTAGCGTTTTATAACAGTATGTAATCAAATAATAGCTAAGGAGTGGCGTCGTATAACGCAATGTCGGGCGTAAACGACTAGCCGTGAGCACCGGGCGATACCGACTAAGTGAGGTTGGGTGGAGCTGGTCATGTAGTGATGTAGTAATAATTGTATCGATAGTTTTTCCTGAAAATTTTATATGAAATTGAAATTATTTAATCACCAAGAGCGAGTACATATGAGTATCAATCCTCAGTCATCATACCACACTTGTCTGTCTGTCAAAACATATAACATTTCATAATGCATATAAGTCCACAGCAAGATCTCCTTTGATAAATACAAAATAAAGTTTGTCGTCTCAAAAGGTAAAATATTTGTTAAAACAGGCACTTAAATGGCAATTATAACGCCTTCTGTCTATCTTGTACCAAACATATTTAGGTATTTAAAAAATTCCATTTTGCTTCAAATTATTTAAAATATTAATAGTATTGAGCAGTGAATTTGAAACTAATTATTTAGAGTTTAATGAATCAGAAAAGTACATAAGAATAGAATTTCTCTCTAATATTTGTATTTTTCACTCATATTTTCCTATATGTTGAAATTTTCTTTTTTACTAAATTACCAAACTATAGGATATTATTTAAATTATTTATCACAATAAGAATCTATTAGAATTTTATTTAGAGTCTTCTTCTCTTTCATTGGTGTATTGTGCCTTATTATTGCAAATGTCTCGTACGATATCCTGAGAACGAAAGAGTGTAATACAACATATATCCTTTATTTCAGGTAAATACTCATTTGCATAAATATAATTCATTAGTGAAGGATGAAGATAAAGAAATATTTATCGATAAATGAACATAAATTTCATCGATACTACGGTGTCACTCAGACGTAAACATGTCGAATCGCATGCTCGCCGGCCGGCTAGCGGCTGACTCCGTAGCTGCGTAGCTGTAGGCGTGTACCAACGTTGAACGCTTCCGTTGCAAAGACCTGATAAATCGTCACCTTATCGATTACCATTATCCATCGCTACATTTCCACCACCCTAAATGTTACAACACTATATTAAGAAAGCAATGGAAATATAAAATCCTAAACATGAATTGCAATAGTTCTCACTTAAGTACTTACCGTCTACGGCGTAGAATATTACTGTACTGGAATGTCTACGCCCACGATTTTATTCGAACCCTTATTTGTGTCATCGTATACAGGACAAATGCTAAATCAGTTTTAGAGTTAAATAACTTTGAAAACAAAACGAATTAAATATAATAAATCATGTGTTTAATTTTAAGGTGGCTGGATATATGTAAAGCTTTATTTTTCCTTCAATTTATCGTTTATAAATTGAAGGAAAAATAAAGCTTTACAGTAACGTGCCCGGCTTTGCACGGATGATAATCATTTATGTATTATTATGATATATTGCGCGTACAAATCTTCTGTAAAAAATATTTAAATGACAGTGGGACCCATGTCAAAATGCAAAGACATGATTTTGAAAAACTCGAGAAACAAACGCGGTCAGTAATTCGACTCGCATTAAATCTTCCCAATGAACTATTTTTTATAACATGTTAAATTATTAAATTTATAAATAAATGAAACTTTCAGCTTATTTCTGGGTTTGTAATTTTTTTTTTCTTCTCATTACTCGAACCCAAGATTTCCTTCATGTAAAGCAACTTACTTACTATTACGCCACTTACTTACAAAAATATTTCTAATTTATTCTCTTGAAATAAAACGACACGATAAGGACAATTTTTCGACAGATGATTTTAGTAAAATCATATTTAAAGTTAATCAACCTGTCTGTATTCTCCTGGTTTTTTATGAATGGACCATCCATGCTATGCAGGAAAATAAACACAGTAGAATTCCTAATGAAACCGATCACACCCTTCTTGAACCGCATTTAACCTCTATAAGGAAAACCCGTCTACTCTTACTTTTATTTATTTTATACTATGCCTCAACAGGAAACCCTTTTCACAACCCTTAAAAAAATTTATGACGTAATAGATCCCCTGTTAGATGTTAGGATTTAAATTCACGCTAATCTCAACAACCCCTCAATTTGTTGTTTTTTTTTTTTGTATATGTATTGTTTACTCCGCGAGTAAGTAAATAAACCATGTCGTATGTAATTCATCAATAAATGTCAAAATCAGTCCAGAATTGTTGAATATGCCACAATACATATCATACTACATTACACCTACCATCTACTATTCATGTACTATATACATATATATTTTTATATAACTATATACATATAACTATGTATTTATGTACTATCCTATTAATTATCCTAATATTAATTATTGACTTTTAAACTTTCGCATTACATGTTTTATGGTATATGAGAAACGAGTTAACGCGATCGTTTAGATAAACCTGACGTACCTCGAAGTTTCCCGTTTCTTATAAACCATAAAATATGTACCATTATTTACCAACAGTATAACATTACCACGACGAAGATTTCGCGTGTAAACGAGAAAAAATGTAGTTCTCTCCTTCACACCCCATTTCGATCGATATGACCTTGGCAATGGCGAGGCGGCATTTTGAACATTAGTTATACTTCACGCGTTATAGTATATCTAGGTGACAGAAACAGGGGGTCTCAGTGCGTGATAAGATCACGCCTTGAATATTTTAGCCATCCTTCTTCGACTCAATTAGACTTATTCAGTCGACACAATCACCGTCTTACGTTTACCCCATTAATCATTCTTTATTCAATTATTATATAATATATTAATATTTGATTATTTTATTTAAACATTATTGGACACAAAAAAAAAGTTGTAACAATGTTCAACATGAAAAAGAGGTTAAAAAAGGCGAGCTTCTAACTTATGTCACATATAATGTAATACTATTATAGTACTTATATCGTCATCATCATTAGCATCATCATATTAGCGGTTAACTGTCCACTGCTGAACATAGGCCTCCCTCATATGGTGGGTTTACATTGGCAATTATTAACTATTGAGTTACCACGCTTGGCAGTACGGTTGGCAACTGCAATAAAGCTTTTGGTGATGTTTTAAGAGGGAAGCTGCTGCTTATCTCTCGACCATTAAGTTCCCTTATCTTACGACACCCACGGGAAAGGAAGGGGTGGCCTATTTTTTTTATAGGTGATAATGAAATAGTAATCTCACCCGCGCTATTGGTATACACCGGCGGTGCACCAGTGAAGGATGATAGGTGAGGATGAAGCAGGTCAGTTAGCCCATCGTGCGAATTCAACGAGAATTGTTCACGATGGTTTCCAGGGGGAACCACATGGAGGTTAACCTGATATTCTATCCCGGAACCACACGGCGGTACTTAGTAAAAATTAATTAAATAAGGAAAGGCACACTACGTCGGATGTGAAAATAATATCAAATGAGAATTGAAGAAACTAATATAGAAAGCGTAAGCAGAAGATTACTGAAGTCTTGCCCTTAGAGGCCTAACTTTTAGCGATCAGATCGACCGTGTAATATTTGATAGAGGAGTCAAGAGCATAGGCGTATAAAGAGGGGGGGGGGGGGGGGAGGTAGCTGGGTCGTGTCTATCGTGTCGTGTGTGAATTGTCTGGTGCCCACCTCAAGACACTTATACAAAAACATATCTGAGAGTGCATATAAGGCTTTTTTAATGGACCAGGCCTGGAAAATAATTTTAAACAGGCCAATGGCCAAAAATTTGAAATGAAATTAAATGAAATAATATTTGTTCATCAACAAGTAGATTTTGTTTTAAAAAAAAAAAACACCATTTATAGGCATTTTCGTGGCGAAATCAGACACTTTGATTTAAAACCAAACTACTGACCCGATTTCGATGAAATTTTCATGGAACCAATCAAAAAGTATATTCTTTTAGATAAAAACAAATTTTCCAAATCGGTTTTATAAATTACGATGTTCTGAGGTAAAATAAAATAAAAAAATACAGCCAAATTGAGAATCACCTTCTTTGAAGTCTGTGAAGAAGTGAACACACTTTTACATAGATGATTGTTTCTCCGAATCGTACAATATGCATTTTCTATATCGTGTAATTCAGATAATTGATTTAGACAGCGATGCCATAACAATAATGGTAATACATTATGTGCTCGGCATTTGATTGAAATTTGATAAACAGATAGACCATATCTTATACTATCTATTGCCCACGGCTTTACACGCGTAGTATCGTGTTTCCCTTTTAAGTTGAAACTTTATAAATCCTTTCTTACCAGATTTACGTTATAAAATAAATTGTTTTGTGTTCCAAATTTTAATTTTCCAAATTTATTAGTATTAGCTATGTGTTGATAGTTAGTACACACGATTTTATATGTATAGATTAACCTTTAGGTTACTTTTTTCCAGGACAAATTAGCTACTCGTAATCCGCAATCTCCTGGAATTTACCCTGGAGAACTCATCATGATGGACCAGACCTGACTTCATGCTCACCCGGAGATACCTGGCCAATATAATTCAATAATTCAGGCGGGATCGCCGTTGCATTTTCATACATAAAAAAAAAAACAGTATTTTAGTTTGTTATAACATAGTAGTTTTTTTTTTATACTGTGGTTACAGTTAATTATGATAAATAGGTACATGTATAGTGGTATATAAGTAATGTAGCCGTGTGGTCCCAGCATAGAATAAGCCACCCCTTCTTATCCCGTGGGTGTCGTAAGAGCCGAATAAGGCAGGGCGAGGGATGGGCAGCCGCGTCCCTCTCAAAACATCTCTAAAGTCTGCCAAGCATGCCAAGCGTGGCAACTACTGGCAAAACTCCCCAAGGGGGAGGCTTATATTCAGCAGTGGACAGTTAAAGGCTGATATGATGATATGATGAAGTAATGTAAACCAACCCAAATCTAATAACAATATGTTTACAAATAATTGGTAGGAAGATGGTAAATAACACTATTATTTATAGTGATTTGTTTAATGGTTGTTTTGATGCCGTAATGTTTGCTGAAATATAATATATTAGAATCAAGAACGACATTGGATATCATAAAGTAAAGCTGTGTCATACGAATAAAAACCTTATCGTAGTACAATTAAAGAGAAGTTTCATCTAACGTGCTAAGAGCAATAGGTATTACTCGAAGAGAATTGTACCTACGCGATAATGTTTATTTACCTGAAAGCGTAAAGCTGTTTTCATAAAATATATTGCTATGTACACTATTTCCTTTAATTATGTAAGGTAGTGTTTTTTTTTTATATTTTACTAGACTAGGTGTTATCTTGTGAAAGTTCATATCACCGGTTATTTAATAAAAAATAATCCTAATCAAATAATATCAGTTTATTTTTTAATTTGAACCCTCAATCCATCCTCTTTTTAAACCTTTTTTACTCTTACATGAGATTTGAAATAATCAAACATATTTGATATTATGTTGATAGATTTTAATAAAAAAAAATAAAAATGTAAAGTCGGAATAAAAAGACATACAAAGTTTTTAATGGCATGAATTATGAGGTTTATAAGTCTGAGTAACAGCATGAATACTTCCTATACCACTAAGCTATGACCCATGACATTCTCACCATAAGAAAGGTTTTAACATTTTAGATTAAAAACAAAGATAATATTCTGAAATAAAAAGAATACATTTTCATTCAGGAAACTCGTGATTACGCTATTCGACAATACAAAGGAACATTCTTGCATCAGACGCTACGGCAGCGTACCTATCCTTTATTAGTGTCCTATAAGTAATACATTCAGATTTTAGAAGGGGGGAGAGGAGGAACGAGGAGGTGGGAGCAAGTCGATACCTCCACGCATGCGTTCTAACCTTTATCTCTGACTAACTAAAAGGAAATATAGTTCTTAACACATTGAAATAAGATCATTAATATTAGCAGGAACAAAGATAGAATGTAGAAACTGCGTTCTTAAAATAAAATGCAATATGAAAAAGCCCTAATTACAAATTCACTTTTGAATAATTTCATACATTATTATCATATATGAAGCGAAGAAATTTTATAGAATGATTAATTAAATTTTTTAGTCCATTCTCTTTGATATCTTAAACTTTTCTAAGAATATTACAGCATGAATTCTTTTTAAATCGGTCGTAAAAAGGTTTCTTTGGGTTCGACAATGGGCACGTGACTGCTCCCGCTGTTGCAGACTTGAACTTAAAACTTAATTGCTACTATAATTGTTTGACTAAATTGCGTTCAAAATTATACCTACAATAGTAGGTCGCCTACCTAGGTACTTCGATTTCTAAATTTATTCAGGTTCAATAATTAAACTGAAAAGCAATTGAGAAATTCAGTTCTGAATCCCGTTAAATGAAACTGGTTAATTTTCTCAACGAGCTTGTTAGGTGTAATTAATTTTATCTGATAATCTAAAATTTATTTTTAACTACATACCAAATTTTATTTAAAACCTTTCAAGCGGTTAAGTATGACTGAGTTACAAATATCTTAACATATCGTCATAGTCGTAGAATACTGACGGATCTTTATATGTAATCTTTGTCAGATCCGTCAGTATTCTAGGACTTTGACGATATATGCATAGGGGGAGAAAGGATTATTAGTTTTTTTTTATTTAATTGATGATAATGGAATGGTAAACCCGCCTGCGCTAACGGTATACGTATGTGGCGCACCAGTGAGGAATGATAGGTCACATCGAAAAGGCAGGTCAGTTGACCTATCGTAATGAATTCACTTGGAACAGAACACGATAGTTTCCAAGGGAAACCGCGAAGAGGTCGACCTGACAGGGTATGTAGCTAATAATCCACATTTTTAACAATCCATTATCCCCCGACCCCATTACTAGCAATACCCTACCAGGTAGACCTCCACGCAATTCGTCCTGGAAACTATCGTGGTTATTTCCTGATGAATTCGTCATGTTGAACTAACTAACCTGCTTTCATCCCTCACTGATATCCCGCCAGCGAATACCAATATCATAGGCGGGTCCACCATTCCACCATTATCATTCAAAAGAATAATATACATGTATCATAATATCTTTCCAGAGTTTTTTTTTTTTACAACACCGGCTCGGCTCGGCAAATAGGGCTCACCTGATGGTAACTACCGCCGCCCATGATCACCCACAACACCAGCGGCATTGCAGGTGTGTTATCGGCCTTTTAATAACTTTTAATAATATCGAATAACTAGAAGGACACACTTTTTGGTGTTAAACACGAACATTGGAATCGATGAACGAGGTACGAGTAAAAATAGAATGATTACATCTTAAATGTGATATAAATCAAATATTAGTTCACTGTAATTTCGACAAAAAGTATGCAATATAATAATTTTGATAGGAAAGAGCTAGTCATGATAATGGGCTGGAATTTGGTCAAGAAATTTCAGAATTAAATAAGATAGCCTTGGCGTGTTTGGGCTTAATGAATAAACAGTTGGCTGAGAGTTATAGGTTTATTTGATCATGCACATCGCCGAAAAATAATCACTAGATATCTATGTATTATTTTTGTATGTAATTGGGAATGGTATAATAGTTTTGGTTAGCTTAAAGCTAAGAAACGGTAAACATTTAGTACAGTACATGAATAGCACCGTAGCTCTCATAGAATGCATTATAACGCCCACGGTACTCAGGACGCGGAATTATTCCTGAGCACTAAAGTGTTATACCACCGCACTTTATATCACTAACAATGCATGAGGGGTACCGTGGACGTGACAATGATAATCCGCAACACCGCAGGAATTTCAGTATGTTGCTGGCCTTCTAGAAAAAAATATTTTCTTTGTAGAAAACTATTCGGGAACAAAGAGAAAATGCTAAAAAAAGTAAGTTCTTTGAAAAATATATGTCAACTATAGGATCGATTTTGAGATGCCATTCTTTAAAACTATCTCTTAGCCTAAAATTTTAATTTGATTATTCTGCGAAATTATTATTTTATGAACCATCATAACCTAAAATTAAAATAATTTTTAATCAATTTTTTTTATAGATTAAAATTTTAATGTTAAAGATTGGTTTAGAGAAACAGCGCCTCAGAATCGATCTCAATGTTTCTTGGAAAAACTTATTTAATTTCATAAGCGATTACCAGATTTCGTTTTGCTATTTACCCATTCTAAATGCAACCAGTGTAATTATTATCAATCTTCCCACAGGTTAAAATAAATTGCAGTGAGGGTGCATCGATCGTAACACGACCTAGTTGCAGGTCATACCGCCCAGTAACCACCTCACCCCCTTTCATTCAAGCTTATTTCGTTACCAGTCAGTACACCTACTCGTTTTCATTCACACAACGGAATTTATTATGCCATTCCACAAAGCAGTTTATGTTTTAATTGGATTTTCAGCAATAATATATTTTTTAAGATATTTATATGAATACAAATGTAAGAATAATTTAAATACGAATATAATACTGGTTAAATAAAACATTTGGAGTCATAATGCCATTATGAAAAGACAAAGTTGTCCCAGAACGGAATGAAAGGGGAGAATATTGTTAGAAATATCTGTGATAATATGAAAAATACAATCAGCAATCCAAATTTCATCTATTGTTCAACCTTATTACAATTTCAAAAGTATGAACATTTGAATTTGACGATCATAAAATTTCATATCGATTTAGAACCTACTACCAATTTTATTTTCAAGAACAACGTTTGAAATCTATTACATATAATTTCTATTTGATCATAATTCGATTCCGTTAAAAGTCAGTCTGCTAAAAAGGTGAATGCTGAAATATAGTGAGATGAAAGAAAAAACTTACTACGCGAACCTCAAATAGATAGGGGCCAAAGAAGACGATGAACTAACTGATCCAACTTCATTCCTTTGGACTTGGTGGACTACTAACTTAGTACTCCAAGGAGGAGGCGACTATTATTTATGGGGACTAGCGGCCCCATTGCTAGCAATATACCTATTAATAATGGATTCTAACCACCCCAGTTGATAAATAGATATATAGATTATTTCTTCACGATTACATGCACATCATTCATAACTTATAAGCGAACCAAAAATTTTTAGGTTTTTATATGCCGCTACGGTGAAAAGGTAAACAACTCGACATGAAGGGGGGGGGGGGGGGGGTATTGTTAGTAATGCAGACTACCAGTCCCATTGCTAGCAATATACCGTCAGGTCGATATCTCCGTAATCCCTGACCTGCTTTTTCATTCTCATTTATCATGCCTCACTGGCGCCCGTTAACGTATACCGTTAGCGCAGACAGGGTTACCATGGGCATTACAATATATTCTGTTTATTTATTTATGTGTAAAGTGAATGCGTCATGATGAGCCCACTGAATTGACTACCTCCTCTCTTATCATCTTCCACACATACGATACTTCGCTAGCAGTATAATCTGGCGGATCATTTGTCATAAAAATCCACAACCAGCACTTGAAAAACACAGACGATCTTACCACAAAAATAATTCAAAACACTGTTTATTGAAACTAAATTTAATAATAGTGATTATATATTGTGTAAACAAGGTAAAATAATGTTTATTGTAATTTTTGTGCGCCAAAATCTATAATATAATAAAATATATAATTTTATACGCCTTTTACTTTTAATAAGGTAAACTTTCTTTTATTTATACATTAACAGATGTTAGACACCATTTTGTAGTAAGACGTCTAACATGTATTTGACACAGGTTTAACTTTTTTTATGGTAAAACCGAGAATGATGAACAAATAAAATATTCAAATTGATTTTATTGTTTATTTTTTTAAATTACCACCACAAGCGATTGAGATACAGAATAAGTAGGTATTATATTATACATTAAATGACTGGATTTAGGTATATTGTATATAATTATTTCAAATAGTAATAATGTCAAACAGTTGCATTATATTACATAACGTATGTGCAGTTTATACTCAACTGGAAAAGATTTGCCCCTTTATTCATAAAACCCTCTCTTAAACCTATTTTAGCTATTGAAGAGTTAGGTCTTTTCTTTTACACTAAATGTTTAATTTGAAAAAAAGAGACAAAACATTTCAATATCTAAAATAGGTTTGTAGGAGATTTTAGTATTTATAAATAAAGAGCTTAGTATATTCATGAATTAATTACATTTTGTTGCTATTTTTACATAATATTTCCCCCTACTATAGCATTTACATGTGCGGTATACTAAATATGTAGTAATATAGTGATTAAATGTACATTTGTACGGTAAGGTATAGAAGGTAGAACATACGAGATTTTTATGTGGAAATCACTATTTAAAATATTAAAACATATTATTATTGGTCTGTCATAATGCAAGGACGACTTATAGGTACAATACAACAAGAAACATAATTCGCATACGCAGCTTCGACGTGGATCGAAATGTATCAAAGTTTTCTTTAAGAATTCCAGTTTGATACCTTTGAAAAAGCATTACAAACATGCACCACAGATAAAAATAACCTTTTAAAGAAATTTCAAGAATGTCAATTGTATATAATAGTGTTACCATGCTTTAATCTTTAAAATAGTTTTTAAGAATTATAATGCTTCAACTAAACCAACGATAAATCTAAAAATAAAATTTCTATCGCGGTTGGATATTTAAATCCCGTATGTTCCACTTTAAAACCTGCAACTATCTATGTATGTGTATATATTTCATTTGTACAATAAATAATTCAATCTATTACAAATAATTTAATACATTGTACCATTTACATAATTCTATATAGTTATTATTACACTTCCATTTTCGATCAGCACTTAAAACCGTGTTCCTGTTACACATCAGTTGTTCTATATAATTTTGCACTATAACTCAACACCAGTTTTCATTGTTGCACTGTCGGTAAACCCGTCAACTGATATTGTTCGTTTACTGCACAAGTATAAAGCCCTCTTCGTGAGACAATGGAATAAATTCTTACTGACTTTATGTGTATATATTAAACATGCTTATAAATAAATAATTTCGCTGTATGCCTTTTACTCCATAAGGGAGATGGTCCCTCTAGTCAAAACAGATATGTATGTGTTGGAATGAAACACAGAACGCTCTTATCTCACTCTATGTTATAGGTTCGCCCGCAATGACGAATGTAATTTAAGTTGAACTGTCTTTTTCGCACTTACCCTCTCATTTGGGCAGTTGTGCGTATAAGTAGTGGCTAGTACAGCCAACCCAGCTCCGCCCAGAAGCACAGAAGTTTCATGGGATCTTCACAGGCCTCACAGAGCGACCTCACCGTTCCGAGGATTTCTAAATGTTGATGGGCCACATCACAACTTCACATTCCAGGATTACACGAGTAGTCGTTTCTTTGGTGTCGAAACAACATCGACATAAAGGGCTGTCTGTGGCTCCTATTATGTATAAATGTTTGTTTAATGGACAATGGCCCGTTATTGTCCCTATCATTATTTTGAGGTTTTTCCTATCTAGATGTAATAAACGTTTTGATAGTCGTTGATTCAACGTTCGCACGGTCAATTTTGATTGTCTGCAATCAGTAGCCTGTATCCATCTTTGGTTTTGTACGTCAGCGGATCTTTAACGAATCCATATTCGAAATAGCGAAAACTGAAGAGGAAGAAGTGGATACGGGCCTACCACCCTCATTCCAGAATCCCTTATAACTAGCTAGTCTGCGGCATCGTTACCATAAGATCCAATGTGCTCTCTTATCCACTGGAGGATAAGTCGGTTATTGGAAGATATCCAGTGAACGGTGGCATTCAATTATTAGTTTGCTGTTTGTCTTGTTGTTTCGTAGTGCTTTTAGTATCGCTGCGCTATCAGATAAGATTCTGATGCCAATACCATTTTTTTTATACCACTGAGGTGGCAAACAAGCATACGGCCCACCTGATGGTAAGCGGTTATCGTAGCAGTAGTATCGTAGCTTATAAACGCCTGCAATACCAGAGGTATTACGCGCGCATTGCCGACCCTGAGGAAACCTCTTTACCCCCCCCCCCCTTTTGAAGAACCCCATGCTGTAGTCTCTTGAGAAAACCTCGGCAGAGAGCTCATTCCATAACCTGAGTGTTCATGGGAGAAAACATCTCTGAAACCTAGCTTATGTACAGCTGCAGCAGCCTCGGTTATTGCTACATATTCGCATTGGAATATTGAGCTGTGTACGCCAAGCGGTATGTACATGTTTATATTAAGGTCTAAGGGAAAGACTGCGGCTCCTAAACCGTTCTCAGTTTGGGAACTATCGGTGTATATGCGTAATTCATGTACTCCAGATTGGTCCTTTTCCTCTTCTTTTATTTGTACTTGATATTTTTTGTTGAATATATAATAATTAAGAGCCCTCTCACACGGAACCGCAATCAATGGTTCATATTCGATTGCCTGGTTCAGAAGAGAAGCGTGGGCACTGTTGTGATTTTTACCCCACAGATCCAGATCCATTAGTCGGATAGCGACTAAGGTTGCTCCCTGGTATGTGCAGGTCTAGGGGTGTTATGTTGAGGGCCAACTCTATTGCTGTTCTAGGAGCTGTTTTCATGCAGCCCAGCAATGACGATTTCATCGACGGTTTTTTTTTTGCGTGACCCCCGGAATGCAAGGGTTCGCTTGGTCGCGGACAATCGTCTATCATCCAATCTCTTTCGTTCCAAAGATGTGAGGATAATCATGGACAGCGATACGCCTACCATACTCGTGGCCGACCTCAACGTGAAACACACCGCGTGGGGGCTCGAGCTGAGTGTCGAGGGACAGGTTGTGACTGTACTATGATGCTTAGATTGGAGGGTACGAATACCATATTAAGGATCCTATACTGAATGTAATATCAACATCAACTCTAAATATTAAATTTAAGGTAAAATCAGTTATAATAAATTGGTTCTAATTTAGATTGCAAGATCCTATCTAAACAAACAAACTGAGTAATATATATGTAAATAATTATATAATAATAAAAAAAAATGGAGACGACTCTTCATGATATCGTGGACGACCACGGTAAAGTATAAAAGCGTTCATTTGCACGATATATCGTGGAACTGCACGATAAATCATTCACGGTAAAGAAAAAAAACGCCCTTTTATTCTATGTAGTGTTTTTTCTTGCAATTTTTGTTTTTAACAAATTTACTATCATTTTCTTTTGGAGTGACAATAAAGATCTACCTGTCCATTGTTTCACGAGAAGGTCTTACCGCGATTTGTTTACACTTAGCGTTGTGTAGATTCACTTGAGGGCCGTACGATGCAATGCTAGGGTGGCGGCTTCGCGGGATGACGCCGGATGATTACTAGCTAATATCGGTGACGATTCGGATATATATTCGGGTTCTGGACATTGGTGTTGGACTGCTGTACTGGGTAGCCTTGGGTGATGCTGCCGGGTTTGGCGGTCTGGAAAAAAAAACATTCAAATGTAATATTAGAATAAAAGATATATTTGGCAAAACCAATTATTTGATTTCAAAAGTACAAAACATATTTTGATAATTTTTTAAGGGAATGGGAAACCAATCTGTAAGTACATCCTTTCAGATAAAAAAATGATTTTCCAACACGGTTCATAACTAACAGAGGTTTGAGATAACATAAAAAAAAGAACTGAATTAAAAAACTTCCTTCTTTTAAATCAGTTGAAAAATCATATATACCAGAGAACACACATGCAAATTATAATAGGGTTTGTTTTGTATAAGCCTTCGATGTAAAAGTACTAGAGCATTAATATTAGTCCTCAGCACAAGAATTTACTATTGAGGCCTATAAAATCAAAGAAAGCTAAATCCAAGTCTGTCAAATATCCTGGAAACTACAAAAAACTAATATTTTATAAAGGATATGTAACGATATTCTATATTTTAAACTAGATTGATAAAAATTTGAATATTTAATATTTCAATTTTAATTAATAGAACTTTTAATTAAGAGAAATATTTGAGTACAGAGTGAAAATGAAATCGATTTTATGACGTTTAGCCTTTGATTTTATAAGCCTCTATTGAACTCGGTAGCTTGGCGGGTGAAAGTTTGTAAAGACATTTAAATGTTCGTCTGTTTGTTACTCTCAATCACGCTTCAATGGCTAAACGGTTTGAAATGAAATTTGGTTCATGAATAGATTATATCCTAACTTAACAAATAGGATACTATATATATTGAATCACATGGGCAAAGCTGCGGGAAATTGCTACTAATAAATAATTATAAATATCAATAGTATTTATTATTTTAGACGCAACACACTCGGCGAACAGTCTGCGTTGACTGTTCGCATTGGTAGGTAGGATCAATATCGCCGTTTTGTCGATTACAGCAGATTCATAGACTCTAAAAGCTAGCATGAGGTTCTTCAAAAAGGGAGTATTAAGGATCAGCAACGCGCACGTGACATCCATGAATGTTACAGGTATCCATAGGCTACAGTAACTCTGTTTACCATCAGACGGACCGTATGCTTGTTTGTCACCAAAGTAGTATAAAAGAAATTCGGATTATTACAGTTTATATAAAACAGGAACAGTGCTTCTAAAAGGAGACGGGGGTATTGCATTTTTAGTATATGTATCCTAATCTTTTAACGACCAGTGACAGTGTTAATATGTCAAAGAACTTTTAAATAACAAATAACTACATTTTTATATAAAATTCATTAAAATAACAAGTGCATTAACTGGTTGTCAACCGGCATATTAACCCTATTAGAGCGCCCAAAGTCACGCGACTCGAAGATACTCTAAGGTGACGCCAGCCTTTGGGCAACGTACCTGCATGTTATTGTGCTGCGGGGGCGGGTGTATGGCGAGGTGGCGGCTGACGGGCGGCTGTGCGTACCCCACGCCGCTGCTCACAGACGGATGGTGCGGTTCGCTCAGCCCGATCAGCACCTGCGGCTGCAAACATCATATTTCTTGTATCACAGTAATATATGAAAAGTTCTTACAGTCTCTGACTAAAGCTGACAAGTTAATAACTAATTATTCACAGAGCAGCTTCTTTTTAACAATAAGGATCTCTACCTGGGAATCCTTCTTAGCATCTTGGTGCTGAGGTCCATCTCTGTTTTTCAACATGTCGAAATACTGCTGCGTGGGTTGCGGCGCGGGCGCATACATCAGGTTCGTGTGGTGCGGCGTGTGCGGCGTGTGTGGCGTGTGCGGTGTGTGCGGCGTGTGCGCGTGGTGCGCGTACAGCAGCGGCGGCGGCCGCTCGCCCACCACTCCCACCACCCCAGACGTGGGCATCGTGTAGAACGTCTGCGGCGACACGGACGGACCGCCCGATGCGTACTGCGATGGCTCTGAAAATCATTGGCACTTTTGTAATTAATTTTTTTATTGCTATATTTATCCTATTTATGATTTTTTTTAAATATATTTATAAATTATTTATTATTTAAAAAATAAACGAGCTAAATATTTGAAAATGAAAAAATCAAAGAATTACTCAATAAGAAAATAATTACAGCAAAGTAGTAAACAGAATCGAATGTAAGCATACATTTCAACGGTAATATATATTATAAAATGTATGTATTAATATTTACTCATAAATACTATGTGTTGCTTATACGGATTTGTACAATTGACTTAGTTTCCACTATCAAAAATTCTCGTCTAGTTTAGAGACTAATTGAGATAACCCATAAAACTTATTAATTAGTCAGTATAATTATAGAATGAAAATCGTACTTATTCAATTAAGAACTAAATATGATTTATTGTACGAATTCAATAAAACTCAGTTACATGAGTAATTTTACCTGTACCTGCATATTATCTGTATTCATAATTCAGTAAGACTATACCATAATAAGTGCAAAAAAAAAAATGCAAAAATGTAATAACAGAAATCTTATCATTTTAAAATATAGAAAACATTTACTCCCTTATTCATAAAACGTCAAATCTCTCATAAACCTACTTTAGCTATTGAACTATTTTGTCTCTTTCATTTGTGCTAATTTCTCAATTTGAATGGAAGTGACAAAACACTACCCATAAATATATTTATAAAGAAACTAAAAAGGTAGCTAATAGAAAAATGTTTTTACTCAATAAATTAATATTTTAATAATTTTAAAGCTTAAATATGTGACTTAATTAATTGACTATTATTTGTAATCTGTATAATTTATTATTAATAAGTAAATATGTTAATATATAATATTAATTTACAGTACAGTGGAATAACACCTTTATATAATCATGGGCGAAACAGTATACTCTGTTATATCCATGGTACGGCTCATGTCTATAGGCGACGGTTACCACTTTCCATCAGATGGGCCGTCAGCTTGTTTGCCATTCTAAGTCGTATAAACAAAAAAAATTACGATATTCACATATTTATGTGAAATTCGGTTTTGTTTTGTGTTCGTAGCATAACACAATTAAATTAATTTTATATGCCAGATTCTGGTGAAGATTGTGAACAACATTAAAATATTATGTACCATCCTTTTTACCACTTTTCAAACAAAATAAAGTTATTTGTAAAACAGTGTTATTAGTGGTGTATTAGTTACAATAGGTTTGTAGGTTTTAATTTTTATAAATTAATAAATAACAAATGTATAATGATGAAGATTGAATGTATAATTATATTGTACTCTCCAATTTTAAGAGAGTACAAATAATATAAGGATCATTATTGTTAATATGGTGACGTCATAAAACAACACAAACCAAAAAATATAACAAACTTGTTTTCATCTTGATCATATAGATAGAGCATCGAGACTCAAAAATGGGTCAACTTTCTGTCACCTAATTGTCAAATTAGCTGACTCGTTTTTTTTATCAGTGTTTATGTTTCTTAACGTATCTATATTTAATTATTTAATAAACAAAATAAAGTTTTACGCATTAAAAAGATGCAGAATTTATAGGACAAAATAAATATAGAAGTTATAAAGGGAACACTCATAACTATTTATCACGCAACATTGTATGAAAAATTTGACCCGAAGCATTTGTATGGAGAAACTCTATCTATATAAATCTAAGGTTTACACAGACAATCACATACAATAAACAGAAAATACTCCATTACCATGAAAAATATTAATCACATTGACAAGACATTTATAGCATTATATTTATGCAGTTAAAGTGATCTAAATTAATTACTATTACTTATAAAAACTGACAGTGATTCATGCTATTAGACATTAGAACATAAAAAGACAATAAAAAAAAAACATTAATCAAAGGACTATGTATGATATTTAATGGTTAATCATGAAATAAAATATTAGATCAATTCAAATGAAAAAATAAAACGTTATTTTTTTAAAAAAAGAAAAAAAAAACAAATGAGAAATTTAAATTTGGAAGTGTGAGAACAAAAAGGAATTGATTAAAGCGACAGTGATGACACCAATGAGGTTCAACTCACTGTTCCATAGCACAGCGCGCGTCAAGTGTCGGCTCATGCGGCCGTCCTCTACCTCTGTAAAAGATCATTTTCATAAATCACATTCTAATAAACAATATTTTTAATTTTAATGAAGAAAATTTTTTTTTTTAGAATTATAAAGGATTTTTAACTTTTATTCTATTTATAAATGTTTTGAATATACTATTTATGGAAATTGATTTGACAACAATAAATTTATGGTTATTTAGTAGGACATTATAACACACAAATAAATTATATTAATTTATCTATTAATCATCAAAGTTCAATAAATTTAATTTAAGAATGTTGCATATCAAATGTATTACAGGACGTTAAATGCAGGCGACAAATGCTGGTCCTTACGGTATTCTAGGGGAGAAGCTCAAAAATGGCAAATTACATTAAAATGCCATGTTTACAATTTCATATTTACTATGGAGTCATATCAATGTTAATGCGCGCAGTGCAGTAAGTAAATTATTTGTTTATATTAATAGTTTAATAATTGTTAATTTAGCATTGCACGTATAATCATAGATATGACACCATATTTACAATTTCTACAGACGACAGTTACCACTTTCCATCAAGTGGGCCGTCAGCTTGTTTTGTATTTTAAGTTGCATAAAAAAAAGATATATGGTAATCAGAGTTAGTTTACTTTTAATAGAGACTTAGTATCAGTACAGCACAATGGTAATACTGTTACTATTGTATCAACGTAACACTCAGCATGCCTGCATTTATTTATGTAATTTTGAACCTATGTGGTTGCACGCTACATAGCCGTTTCTCAGAATAATTTAGTTTTTAACTGTATTCTAAATTAAAGTCTTGAATTTAAATCGATATATGAATTTCTTCATATCTAATTGAAACTTAAGATCTTTAGAATCAATTAAAGCATAAGTTATTAACTATGTTTAAAATAGTCTAGAATTTAAATTGATATATAGACTTTTTAATATCAAATTGGAACTATGGACTTTCGAAATCAATTAAAGCATTTCTCTTCAATTGTAAAATGGAGAGATAAGTTTATTAACAAAGAAAATATACTAACTGTGGTCAGAATACACAGACTGATGTTTCATTTGTGGCTGCATTCGATGCGCGTACAAAGCATAAGTAGGAGATGGACTGCGCTGACGCTTCATACCGCCTTGAATCGGCCCTCGTACCATGGGTTGCTGTAGGCATATGATGATTTTCAAGTCTATACCTACCTATGAGGTCTTTCAACATACTTTTAAATCACAATCTAATTACTGTTTTGTATTGTTCTATGGTTAAATTAAAATAAATTACAACACAAAGATCATGGCTAGTTAGGCAATAGTTCATACGGATATGAAGTGTTTGAAACTTGTGGAAGAATATAGATGCAATAGAAATAGATAACGCCGATTGATTAGGAAAGCTGACCTCGAGTAACGGGAAAAAGCAGAAGAAGAAGGTAAAAATGTACTGTCTGATTTTCTGTATTCAGCACAATTATCAAACAATATTAATGTATTTTATATATTTTATTATAGAATAAATAAATTCAATAATAAAAAATATAAAAGAGTAATATGCCCTTACAATTTCCCTGCTCAATTATAACATCATGATAGAAGAAAAAGAGATAGAATATGGAGCCGATAATGTGTACATAGGCAAATTGGTTTCTTTTGATACAAATAGTAATGAAAATGAAATTGATAGAAGAATAAATATAACATGGATGAAGATTGAGGCCCAAAAAGAAAATTTAAAAGAAATATACAATTTAAAAATTAAAAAAGATAATAATGGATAGCTGCATCCTGCTAAGTTTAACTTATGCAAACAAAACATGGATTTTCACTGAAAACTTAAAAAATAAAATCCTGTCATGCCTACATGCAATCGAGAGATGTATCCTGTAATTTCATTATTAGAAGTATTTTATATTTTATATATATATATATATATATATATTCTTTATTGCACTTGTAAGTTACATATATTTTAATGTAATAACTACCGATATAACTCTGAAATTTAAAAAAATAGAAAAAAAGAACAAGAAAAGTTCAACTGTGAGAAACCATGATAAGGAATGGTCTCCAGTTTAGTCTAAAACAGAAATGATGATGTGCAGCATGTAGCTAGATACCAAGACATGAGAAGGAGCCATCAAATAACAAAATGGCTGGGCCCTATAGGTAAAAGATGTGTTGGAAGATAGAGAAAAAGATGGGTTGAAGAAATCATAGAAATAGCAGAAAAAAATTGGATGAACATTGCTACAAATACAAAATAGAGATAAGTGAAATTTGATGGAGAAGGCTTTTACCATGGGAGACCAAACACCAAGACACAAAAATTGTTAAAACAATTTGTTAATATTGTAAAAAAAAAAAAGAAACATGGAAAGTATGGGAAATAGAGCTATAATAATATCTATAATAAGAGCTTGTTTACTATTCTAGGTTGCATAAAAAAATATAATAATAATATATAAAAATAAATAACAGTACCTTGTTTAAAAAATTTGATGTCAGAGGTGGTGGTCTACCTTGTGCAGGAGGGAGTTCACCCTGTCCAGTGGAAGGTGGCATTGAAAACATTGGAATTTGAATATTTCCCATTGCCATCTTTAGGGGCATTTCACTGAAAAATAACAAAAATAATATATCATTATTTTCAGAAAGCTTGTACCTATTAAATACTTGCAACACCAGAGTACATACTCATGAATTCAAATGTTTGTATTATGTGTGGATCGAACTGCAACCATCTCAAGGCAAAATGGTGTATCATCTAGCTGCTAGAGCATCAAATCCACCTCAATTAATGTTTTTTTATACTTTTATAATTTAACTAATTCACTTATTTAATTACTTTGCAATACCTCAAGTACCTACCTCTCCTACCCTTGCCCACATAAATGTTTGGGTAAATAAATACAAATAATGAAATGAGTATCTCCCCTCCTCCTACCTAGAGAGACAGCAGAACTAAAGTGGGCTAAAATTTAGAAAAATACAAATACATTCAAAGTAGAACTCACTTGCAAACAAATAGCAGCACAAGTAGACTATGAAACCATATCATATTCCATCATACTCACGTTTCTTTCTGCTGCTGTCGCTTCCTGATTTCATCCTCATTGAGTACCTTCTTCAACTGCATAAACAACTGCTGTTTCTCTTTTTCTAACTGCTTTAGTTTCTGTTCCAATTGTTCTATTTGTTCTTTTGTTTCCTCTGTTATTTTAAATATTATATCAGTAAATATGTAAAAACACTTATAGTATTGTTTTCATATGCAATACCTAGTTAAAAAAATGGTTAATAAATATATAATTTTAAATAGGCATATCTTTTTCAAATGGAAGCTACATTTGAAATAATATAGAGACAAAACATCACACATGTAAGGTTTTTGATGAAATTCTTTAGAAATTTGTTGTTATGATGAGTGGGTGGATTAGTATTACTGTTAAGGATAAAGTGTGCAATGAGTATATACAAGGTATTTTTAAAGTTTAACCCAGTAGAGTTCAGGCTAAGGTGGAATGGACACATAACAAGGCAACCCAATTGCCACATTGTGAAGAAATGCCTTTCCATGACTATAAAAAAATAGAATGAGGTAGCCATACACTACCTGGATGTCAAATGTCCAAAAGGATATAAATGAGCTTAGCCTAACCGATAATACCAAATACCAGTGAAACAAATTGCATTGTGTGATTATGAAAGCAGACCCCGTGCAACAGCAAAGAGGAGAGGGAACAGAAAAAAATTTTGTAATATGTTGCTTAATCACACTGTTTTCCAGGGTTATAGCACTATGTGTTCTTTCTAATTTTGGCAGTAAAAAAAACATTACATATTTATTCAAAAGTTGTTGTAGTGAAGTTGATGAGCAGGTGAGCCACATGCTTGTTTGCCTCCTATATTATAAAAAAGATTATTAATAACTAGTTATAATTTGTAGAAAGACAGTATACCAAGAGTCATAACATCCTGCCTCTCTCGTGCTTCCCTTTCTTTACGTAATCTCTCTTCCTCAACTTCGGCCTCATATTCTGAAAAAAATATAAAAAATAAATTATCATTATTAAATTTATAGAAAATTGTTTACAAAATATATTTTAAAGATTTTATTAATATTATAAGAGTACCATTAAAACAAAATAAATGTAACTGATTCTTTATTACTAATTTTAGTTTTCTTTTTTAAAAAGTTGTGACGACAATCCTATCAAACCATATTTTTGCATACATTTTAGTCATTACTTGTTTTAGCCTTCAATCCAGTGAAATGAGCAGTTTTAAATATAAAGAATTGGTAATAAAATAGATACTTTAATTTTTTGGTGTGTACATTAATAATTTGGGGTTCATTCCAAAAAAAATTGTGAATAAATCCATTTTATTATATTTTTACAGTTAAAATCCATTCATATACATGTATTTGAATGTTGAGATTTCTATTATCAATGAAAATGTCCATCAATTTAGTTCACATAAAAAATGCAATCATTAATTACATCAAGAAAATTATTAAACATTAAGTTTGAAATATGTTAAAATGTACTATAATGTAATAAATATGTATACCTTCTTTTTTCCGCTGTCTTTCTCTTATAATATGTCGTTTGAGAGCATTCCACATCTTTTGGTCTGCATCATTTTGATCTTCTGCTGTTGTCGATGTTACAGCAGGCATTTTCAAGTTTTTCGCACTCCCAACTTATTTTTAATACAATACAAATCACCACATACAACACAATCAGCCTACAACACAATATCAAAACACAATTCAAGCTTCAACACAAGGGGTACTACTAATTTTTAACAAATTATGTACCTATTTCATAATTAGAATTAAAGAAAGTGGATACCCTTAGAAGGTTCAGTTTTAGTTAAATTTTGAATACCTATACGTAATCTAATTTGTTTATTAATAATATTTACCTATATGAGAAATAAATTTAGATTACAAACATAGATTAGAGAAATTATATCTAAAGAGTTAAATAGGTATTGTTTAACTATGCATCTATACTCTGTATGTTATAAACTAATGCGCCTGACAGTTAACTAAAACTATAGAACAATATTAAAATGAAGCTAATAGATTTCTTAACGAAATTATAATTATAAGGAAGTATTAGTTATAATTATCGAATAAAGGTCATTGCTCCTTGTAAATAAAATAGCGTTTTTTTAGAATAAAATTAGTCAAATAGGTAGATAGCTAAAATTAGATCAGATAGCTGTCAATCAGACCTTGCTATAATGTGTAAAGTATACAGCATAGACAATGGGAAGACGTGGAGACTTAATTATAATGAATAGAGTGAAGACTATGAATTAAATCGATTCTATAGACGGTCAATTACATCGAACTTTTTCATTTATAGTTTTTTTATCAAATTTAAGTCAAATTATTAAAAATTTAGTTCATATTATTTCTTAGAAGAAATATTTAATTCCAATGTTTCGACCTACTCTAATAGGTAATAGGCATTACAAATATATATGTATGTACGTATGTGTTGGAAATATACTGATATCTCTCTAATAAGGTAAAAAATCAAAGAATTTATTATAGATAAATGTCTAAAAGATAATTAATAGGAAAAAAGTAATCCTTCTTTATACATATATTACACATATCATTCTAGATATATATTATTTCTTTTAATTAAAAAAGAACATGTAGCCTTATTTTTCACTAAGGAATAGATTAAGAATTTGTTATAAAACTTATTCTGTAAATGTGTGAATATATATGCCTCACGTTATTATATAACGTAAGCGATAAAATACAATAAACCTAAAAAAAATACTAAAAACATAATAATACTAAAATATAACTAACGTACTCAACGAAATATATGATCGTCCAAATTATTAATTATAATTAATATATTATATTCGTATTCACAAAATTATTCAACTTTGCGGTTAATACTGTCACCGGTAGTATACTAAAAGACGCAATGCATAATAAGATCGGGTTGGGGTCACGCAAAGATTTCGAGGGGTCACGTTGAGCCTCCCTCTGTCATGTAGTTGAGTGTCAGTCCTGTCAGTATGTTGTTAGCTTTATTTAATATATAGAAACCATGAAAATATTAATTTTATAACTTTTCAACCTTTATTTTATTTTAAACAACAATTAATAATAAATAAAAACAATAGTTTTATAAATTAGATAATTATCAATAAATATCCCTATAGTGATATTGATAAAATGGAAGGACCGTCCCGGCCTAGAAAGAAACTTAAATCTGTAAGTAGATATTATGCATTAAATATATTGCATATATATGATTTAATTTAGAAAACTTATCTCAAAAAACCGGTAGTATTCGAATGTCGTCGAATTTAATTTCCTTTATTCCGTACTTGTCGGCGATTACCTATGTTATTTACAAATAAAATAGCAATTATTTATAAATGCTTACCTACATATAATTATTAAGAAATATAATTAATGAAAATAATCCATAAAATTTTTGCCAATCAATTTAATATAATGTACTTAACACAAATTACATAAAATAAAAATTTTGCCTTGTATATAACCAAGTAAAGACTTAAATTGTATTTGTGGCTTTAAAGTTAAATCTATTTAGTAATAAAACTTCACCTTGAACACCATACAATATACAAATATCTTTTCTGTAAAAAGTGATTTAGCATTGTACAGTGTTTGAATGAGAATATTATGGTATGGATTTCCTAATTAGTTTTAATTATTTACTACCTAGTTTTATTTATTACTAGCTGTGCTCCATGACTTCGTCTGTGGTCGTAGCTTACTGTAGAATGGTCAAGAAATAAGTTATCATATATAAAAAGAATTTTTGAAATTGGATTTGTAGTTCTAGAGAAATTCAGATTAAAATAAAGAAACTCTTCCACCTTATATATTAGTATAAATTAATACCTGCTTTAAGTGTAGATGCACTGTAAACACAGGTGAATACAGGTAAAGGTCTATAGATGTGTGTGACTAAATATGAATATCATCAGAAATAAATAGCTCCTTACTGTTATAATAATAAGATAGATATTGATAAGTATTTATAGTGCTAATTGTGTCAAAATAGTTTTAATAAAATATAGTAGATTTATAGAGCTGTTGCTACTTGTGATGATAGTAATAAAAAATCACATGTAGTTACCTACTATTATTGTAAAAGAGAACATTTGTAAGCATGTTACTTACTCATTCATAATTTAACCTTTTGACTGTTCAATTTTGTAACTATTGCAGTGCTGCTTGTGTTTGGCTCAATTAGGCCACTTTATATTATACTTGGTTTTTTTTTTATATTTCTGATCATGTCAAGTGATTTTAAAATATAGAATATGTTTGATCTATAATCTATCTATATTTTATTACAGTATTTACAAACAGTTGACTAAATAGACAAAAACACTCATTCTTTATTGAATAATTCCAGCTGGGTTGGTTAAAGTGTTAAATGGTTGAGTGAATTTTGAGTTTTATAAAAGTGACCCATATTCTAGATCAACTTTAAGAATTCTTTTTAGCTTAATTAATATTTTACAACATCTCTTTAACACATAATGAAACTGTTTTTATTTCATAAGGAATTATCTGTCTCCTCTAACTGTGCCTGTGTGAATTGGAATAAAAAAAATTGCTATGTTTATAAACTAGGGAATTAAATAGGATTATTAGTAACCGCTTTAAATTTTTATTAAATTTTTTACTACTGATACTATAACCATAATGTTAGCTTTATTTTTTTTTTATATTTTAATAAAATTGAAATGACATTCAGATTAAAGAAATAGGTATAATTTAATTTTGATAAAAAATAATGACCTTCATTTAGTTAAATGACAAATATCCAATTGACTTTATTTAATGTAGGTGATGAGATTATGTGCCCTTGCTAGCTTTATCAAAATGAGTTCTCTTTTAACTAATCACAGATGTCAATTAATAAACAAAGTAAGCTAATTTGTTGAAGAACCACAATGTCCATTATACATGTTACAATGAATTTTTTGAATGGCTTGTAGAACTAACAATAGATGAGGAAGAAACATTATTAAATGACAGTCTCATAAATCTTATATAGTGTAGGAAGTTGGTGGATTCAGGTAGCTCAGGTTTGTTTCTGATGGCAGTGTACGGGAGAGACTTATGATTAGTAATAATAACTGAAATAATGATCCAAAATTAGAAAACTTACTAATTGAGAACATATATATTTATAGTAACAACCAAATACATTTCTTTAATAGTTGTTTATGTAGCATTAAAAAGTTACACACACTCAAGGCATTATTTTACTTATCTCTTGTAATCTTTATCAAGTCTTTCATTTTCTCATGTTTCATAATACAAAATAATGGAAAATATTATATGTATATCATTAGGTAAGTAGGTATTATTTTATCATTTTTACCTTATCTCATGTATGTCAACAATAATCTTAGAGTGCCTGCTTAGAGTCATAATGTCGCGAACCTGAAGAACCTCAAGAGAAAAATATGGAAAATCCATGTAGTTTCACACTACGTGGATTTTCCATATTTTTCTCTTATTTACTATATTGATAAACAGCAACAATACTGTTTTATTGTATTAATGTATTCTAATGATAACATTTACATTCACTATTCTTAGGCAGTACAGATATAAATGCCTGGAAAATTTTCTAATAACTTCTACCACAATAACAATTATAACTTGATAAGTACAAACTATCTCATAATATCTACATATCTACTTTTTACTAGTAAATAAATAAAAAATTACTAAACTGAAATTAGAATTATTAATGATCAATTTTCAGGACTAATGCCTGAATGGATCTATGATTTTGTTAATAACACATTAATGACATGGGTTTTTTTATACCACTGAGGTGGCAAACATGCATACAGCCCACCTGATGGTAAGCGGTTACTGTAGCCTATGAACGCCTGTAATACCAAGGATATTGCGCGCGCGTTGCCAACTCTGTATAAACCTCTTTACCTCCTTTTTGAAAAACCCCATGCTGTAGTCTCTTGGGAAAACATCGGCAGGATTTTTATTCCATAACCTGGATGTTCGTGTGAGAAAATATCTCTAAAACCACGTTGTACGCGACCATTTAGGCTGTAGGGAATGAGGTTGATCTCCCTGTCGATGGTAAATGTTTAATAACCGATTGCATGACATGCTGTATTTATGTATATTAATGTACTATTCAGAATATTTTTGTATTAAACTGAATGAATAATAGTTTGACTATTATCTATCCAACTGGCTCTATTAAACTGGCTGGGAAGTAGTAAAGGATCACAAGAAGTTAGGTCATTTCGGTCACTCAGGAGTGTAATCCGCTCCTTTTAACTGCTCGCTTTTGTAACTGCATGGGGCACACAAAAATTTTTGCACTTCTGGCTTATCACGATAATATTTTTTTTTAAACTTAAGACCTTATTAGGTATTTAGTGAACAAATTGGCGGGAAAATCATCATCATCATCATTTCAGCTATTATCCGTCCACTGCTGAACATAGGCCTCCCCCATACTCTGCCATAAGGAACGGTCCTGAGCCACCTGCATCCACTGACTCCCTGCAATGCATTTGAGGTCGTCACTCCATCTAGTAGGAGGTTGTCCTACACTGTGTAGAAAATATGGGAAAATATTTGACAATCATTTTTTATCACACATTTAAGTTCCTCGAGTCAAGTAAAAATGGAACTAATGTGAAAAGATTTCTGAGCAATTTATATGAATTTGGTACACAAGTATTCTTTTATCCACTTTTCTAAAAGGTCAAAGAGTGACGACCGAAAAGCAGCTTCTTTTGCACCACGACACCCCTTCTTTACACACAGCCAACAAGACAAAAGTCGAGCTGCTGATTCACCCTGCTCATAGTCGAAACCTTTTCATTTTAATTTCTTTTATTCATAAGTTACGCAAATTGACTGCCGACTACTCGTCCAAGACAAAGCAGTTAAACAATAGTAATTGTCTGATTGTACAGGAGAGTGAGATAGTGGAGAGTGGAATTTTATATTCCCGAACTGATCACAAATACGAGAAGTTGGAAAATGTTTGCGACTCCTAATTCATCTGGCCACATTTGTAGTAGACACGACGACCATTTATGTGAATTTGTCTTAAAGTAGAAACCGCACCTGGACAAACGTAGTAAGCATTTTCTTGTAAGATGGCTCTACCGTTTGCTCAAAATTGAATTTGCAACGGTTGAATCCTTAAGACATAAGTGTATATAAATTAATTGGTGCAGTGAATGCTCAGCAGCTCAATGCTCAAGGCTGATACTGTTGTCATTTAAGTCCTAGATTCAAAATCTCTTTAAACTCTGATCCACCCAAATATCAAGGAAAATAGAGAATGCATATTGTGGTCTAAGATTTTAGCTTGTCCTTAAGGTTTATTGGAGTTATTACCAGTTATTATAGAATTGTTAGGATCACGTATTTATTCGGTTCATAGGTACATTATGTATTTCAAGGCTAAACTTAATTGGTCCTACAACTTTTCCCATTATTAATATGGAGCCTAATATCTTAAACTACTATTCCATATTACTTCTTGTGCTTATTTTAGATGTCGAGTTGTCCTTCTTCCTGCATAATCTTTTTTTTTTATTCCCAGTGAATGTTTTTATTTATAGCCTAGACCGGTTATTACTACTATATTTAATAATATCCAATTGAAATGTTGCTGGTGTGAATATTTGCAACTAATTTATAATACGAGTCGGTAACAGAATGCCGCCAGTGTTGTTTATCGCAGCGTGCACGCTGCCGTGTTTTACCATACGTATTGAATTCCTAAAAAAAATATTGGCGCGAAAGTGCAGTTTTGTTGATTGATTGACTTTTTTTAACACGCACAAATGAGTTTAGAAATAAGAAAAAAGAAGGTCAACGATACCTTCGAAAAATATAATATAGCTCAATGGGGAAACGGGAATGGAAGAGTGGTTAGTATTTATGCAACATAAATTAAACTTTGTTTTAAATATATTGTTTTTGAAATACTATACAACAAACTATGTTTATATGATGGAAAGTAAGTCGGAAATGCAATTCTCTATAAAAAAATATGAAACCTGTAGCATTCCAGTAGATTTTTCACAGTTGTAAAAAAAGTCCAGATTTGCTCACGTAATAATTGTTTTGATAGTTCTAATAATATACAATGGATTTAAAAATACAATGATTGGTACGGGAACATTTAAAAAAAAAGTGTGTACTTGCGTATGCGTGTTACA